AACACAAGACTAAGGCCTTAGTATCATATGAATATGTCGTAACCGCACTCATCAACCATTCAGACTCCTTCAAAGGCAATAGTAAGTAGCCCTAGTCGAAACATTTTACTTTTACATGATCAGACGGCAAGTTTGAGTTCATCAACGTATATAATGGGACAAATAGTGAATTAGAAAGGAGTCCGAACTGAAATTCTCTTTGCATAATTATCAAATTTCTAACATTACAACGTTTTTAATCAATCAAAATATTTTGAAGTTGGTCAAAAAAAATGGTATTCTAATGAAGAATATTTATATGAAGAAAAAATCGTGGGAAAAAGGGTATTCTAATTGGAAGACCAAGTAATATGAAAGTATCATCATGACGTGACATTAGTAGCGTACCCTCCAAACCAACAACGATGACATGATAGCCTTGGACAAAAGACTAAGACCTCGGTATCATATGAATATGTTGTGACCGCACTCATCAACCAATCAAACTCCTTCAAAGGCGATAGAACGTAGCCCTTGTCAAAATATTTTACCTTTACACGATCAGACAGCAAACTTGAATCCATCAACCTATATAACGGAACAAATAGTGAACGAGAAAGGCATCCGAACTGAAATTCTCATTATATAATTATCAAAATTCTAACATTACAACATTTTTAATCAATCCAAATATCTTAAAGTTGATCAAAAAGTACGTCATTTTTTGACATCAACATAAATTTTTATTTTTTATTTTTTCATTATAACAGACAAGATCCGGACACTGCGTTTATCACTGGTCTCCCAACATGTATTAATTCACGTTTACAATATGATTTATAGTAAAAATATTCTCTACACTTTTCCAGACAAAATAATGCAGTTTGTAAGAAATTTCGAATTTTTGTAATAAATAAATATATAAATCAGGTCACAATTGCAAGGACAGCCCTCCCGCTAGTGATTTTCTTGAAACTCCACCTACCACCAAATTTCATAATTATTTCTGCATGGATATAATGAATATTCTCTATCGTTTAATTGTTTATTTATTTTACATTTCAACGAAAATTCTGAACAGTTTATTCATTTATTTTATTACATTTTACTTAATGTAAATACAATATATAAAACATGACATGCGACAACTATTTTGCTTTATTTCAGTTCCATTTTAAAATGTCGATGTTTTTAAGAAAATAATTAAAACTCTTTATGTTAGTTGTGACTTTCCATATTCAAGGGTCGTAGAATTTAACCCATTGAAGGATTCTACAATCGAAATTTGGTTTCTTATTCGAGTTTTATACTAATCGAATTGTTAGTTTAAATTTTCTAGACTTCCGAACATGCATATTCACGAATATTAAAATTCTATTTGTAAAAAGAAGTAAGGTCATGTTTGTTTAGGAGTAAAATCAGATTTTAATTTAAGTCAAAGTGAAACAATCAATATTAACCACATCTTTCATGGATCCCACGGCTTTTTAACCACATATTTCAAAAACTTCTATCACAACTTACTAAAAATCTAATTTTAATTCTCACCAAATACCTACTAAATCTTTTTGGGGTTAGACCAACCTAATTAATATTTTTAAAATAATAATAATAATAATAATAATAATAATAATAGCATAGAAGACAAATAGTGTTGGTCTAGAACAAGAAATTTTTTTGAATAAAGCTAATTGTACAAAAGGATGACCTTGCTACTTGTACAAAGAATTTGTACAAAAATGTTGACAAACCCTCACATGTGAGGGGGCCCACTTTTTATTTTCAATTTTTTATTCATGTGGGGCCGGCCATCATGTGAGTGTTTGTCAACATTTTTGTACAAATTCTTTTGTACAAGTAGCAAGGTCCTGTACGTGTTAAACATGGAAAATGATATAAGTATGGGCCCTGTACGTGTTGATTGGTCCATTAAACATTCTGCCTCATTGTCAGAGCCACATGGGCTTTGGACTCCCCCCTGTCCCCACCCCCCACCACCTATCACAGGCGGCCAGCTGGCCCTCAGCATGATTAACATTTTTTCTTTGAAGAACATGTTTAACATCATTAAGTTACGGAATAAACAATGTTTTAAAATGGTCCACCTCAAAAATAAAAAGGATCAAAGGTAGATATTGGTCGAATTGGGATTCACCCAATAATTTTTTAAAAATGAAAATATAAATTTACAAAAAATAAAAAAAAAAAAAATTCAAAAGATTGATTTTTGGATGGTTTTCATAAGTTTAAATGGATAAAATCAATAACAAGTCAACGGTGAGTCAGTAGCTTTTTGAACGATTTTTTTCCTAATTTCCCCAACTTTCAGCCCTAGTTCCTGATTTCACCGTTTGAACCAACTAGATCGGGCTGGTTCTAATAATATCGAGAATAGATGAGTATGAGCACTCCAATTGCATAGCCGATCACTGCCAAAAAAGTTGGTAATAAATTTAATAACTCGTAATCAATTAACCACCCTTGGCATTGGTCTAATTGGATCTTTTGGTCCAAAATTAAATTATTGGTTGACAAAATAAAAGCATGCGATAGCATTCTTATCAATACAAAGAATTGATCTCATATTTTCAGTGGACAAAATAAAAATTTTCCAGTGATGACGTGGCAAAGAGAACCGTGAGTGACGTAGGAATAGTATCAAATATTTGACTGCCAGTGAGGATGCGTTTAAGCATCTACTCTTTCGAACAGCTCCATGCTTTGGGAAGCCAAAATAAAGCAAGGAATCACTTCATAGTGTAAAATTACAAGAAAGTCACAATGCTGTTACTTTAAATAATTACAAGGCTTGTATTCAAACGTCAACTGCATAAAATTAATAAATAAAAATGCGTGAAAAAAAATTGAGTTGTCCCGTCTGCTTCAATTCAATTCAACATAATTAAATAGAATCTAAAAAGGAAAATATGTGAAAGATTTATATGTGATTTCATATCTAGTTCATTTTAATTAACGAACTTGGACCAAATTAAGAAAAAAATATTTAATATTTAATTTTACTACCCTAAAAAATATTTATTATTTTTTTCCATGTTTTATTTTCATTAGCTTTCTTCTAAATTTTATATTATTTTTCTTCATTAAAAATTGAAATACTTTAAATGTATTTAACTATAGATGATTTATCTAAATTAAAATGTTAATTGAAAGAGTCTCTTGAAACATAATTTTAAGGGTTGATTTTTTAGAACAGAGAGTATCTTAATTTAGAAGGTTTCTTGAAATGCTTTAAGGATGGAATTATAAATTATGATTTTATTTCTATAAAATTTCACAAAAGTTGACATTTAAAATAATAATAATAAACTTAAATTATGATATTTACGATTTATTTTCTTTATATATTCGTATTTTGTCTTGAGTTTTCAGTAGTGGGCCTGAAATTCGGTTGATGAATGTCATGTCCAACGATGAAGCCCAGATATATTTCTATTGGGGTTTGGTTACTGGGCCTGTTGACCTAAAACACCGATGTGGTAGTGAACCCTGTAAAAGAACTAGAGTCCAACACGCCGCTGGAGGTACGGCTGCAACCTTAGGTTTGGGCCGTTTGGCTTATTTCAAATTTCAGAATATTATAAAATTCATTGAAAAATCTGGCTTAATCTTGATTCGGTTAACAAAATGATGTCCAACGTAAGAAAAATGCATAAAGTAGTACTCATATACATGCGACAATCCAGAATTCCAGAGCGGAGTCTCACCATCCTTAAAATTTTTGGAACATTAGAAAAACTTTGTATGTAACTTTCTATAGACTATACACACTTTATGAGTTTATCCAAAAATATAAAATTGGGATAATTTCTTATCACATAAGGCTCGAACTATAAGTGTCAACTTGATCTTATCATAGTTTAGGATTGAGTCTAAAATCCTTGACATCGAGTATCAATATCTGCCTAACTTTCCAACCATGTCACATAATTCTATTTAATATTCTCCATCTGCAATGAAAGAAGAAAAAGAAATTGGACAATGGAAATTAGTGGTCCTGTCTTGATTCTGCGGGCCGAGGATCTTCGAGCATGATGAACATCGGCATTGCCATGCAATTTCACTTTCATTCATGTGATTAGGATCGTGACAACGTGTCAACAGTAAGCACCAATTGTTGTTATGATTAGACTGTCCTTCTTCACTAATTAATTTGATTAATTAAGCAAACCACACAGTTTGATGTTATTAATTAATTAAGCAATGTATTTGGTTGTCAAGTTGATACAACTGATACCAAGATGCTGTTTTCCGTTGCAGGTTCTGCGAACTAAAACTGCTAAATTTATTGCACACCACATGTTTGATTTATTTCCTATTTCTTTATGGGTTTGGAACTTGGAACTTCTAAGAGAGCTGAGGCTTTTTTCTGGTGATCTGAATCTATAGCATATATATTGGTATTTGGTACAGAAGAAATAATTAAAGAAACGGAGAAAGCAGAGTAAAGAAACAGAGTGAGAGTGAGAAAGAAAGATAAAGAAATAGAGGGGGTGGTGGAGTGGAGTCACGTTGATGCTACTGAGAGCGTTCTCTGGTTTTGAGAANTAGTGTGGAGATTATGTTATTAGTGTGTCTTCTGGGCTGACTAGGCTCCCCTGAAATCCACTGGCTTTGCCACCGGCCAAGAGAACAACCTCTCTGTCCCATTGAAGCCACCATTTGTTTTAACAAAAGATTTGTACAAACCATAGTTCTGCCTTTTCTTCTCTCCTAAAATTGCTTGGGTGTGGTCAAGATTCCATTGTTCGAAGCATATATACTTCCCTATTTGAGATCCCATTTCCTTCCCTTTGAAGTTGTGAGAACTGACTATATTCAGAAATTATTGGTCCCCACACCTAAAGTCCTTTTAGTTCTCCATTTCCTCGATTTTAGTTTTGTCTGGTAATTTGGGATGTCCACAGTTCAATCTGGGACTGTACATATTTCTTTGATCAATTGAGAAGTTTGAAGTATAGTTTTGAAGTGCCAGAAGACAAATACACAGTTGAGTTGCGGCGATGAAGTTTATGAAACTTGGATCCAAGCCTCATTCCTTTCAGACTGATGGGAACAAAGTTAGGTAAGATCTATATATACCTTTTAAGAAGATCTATTGTTGATAAGCAATGCAATGCAACTTTTTAAAATAAGTTTTTAAAGTCTTTCGCTTCACTAAATTTGATTTATATTTTGTGAAATTACCTCAGCCTTTTTCAATAATGTTGAACTTTCATCTTCGTGATTTATTTTTACAGTATCTATAGTGCTTCTGAGCTTGTTTAGGGCAAAAACTTTTACTGTTCTGTTAAAATATAACCAGTTTTGAGAATCATCTACCAATTTGTAGAAAGATTGAAATTTGTCAGATGATCATTGTTTAGTGATATAGGTCAAATGTGTAACATCATGTAAAATAACAATTAAGATGATGCCAATAGGTGTATGGAATTAAAAAATTCTTGGAACTGATTTTGTGTGTGACTAACCAATGCTTGTATATTCTTAAGATGTCTTGGAAGACTGTAATAACCCTGAATTTTGCCAAAATGTTGTACCAAATTGTCAATTCCAATACTTTTATATTCTTAAGTATCCACTGTTTTTTTCACCAGTTCAATTTAAAGGAAGTTACTTTATAATGTGTTGTCACTTAAAGAATTTTCAGTGTATTGTTACCGTATTTGCAAGTGCCTGTACACCACTTTATGTCCTTTTCCTTCTATGCGTGTGTTATGCGATCCAGATTCGTGTTTTTAGAAGCTCTCTATCTATTACTTAAAAATGTTAACATTTTGGAATAAAATCATCATCTGCAGATGTGTGGCTACTGAACTGGCAACAGACATTGTGATTCATGTAGGGAATGTGAAGTTTTATCTGCACAAGGTACAGTAATTAATAACTTATGTACCCAATCACGGGCGTCTGCTACTATTTTTTGTTGAAGCATCCATGTCTTGCTGGAATTACTGAGTCTCGTCGTCACTGATAACTTAATGTGCTTCTTGATTGTTATTCTTTTGAGCATTAACACCAGTGTTACCAGTGCGCAATCACATAACATTTCTTTTATGGATTAAAGTTGATAGAAAAAGGCCATTAACCTTTTTTTTTTTAATGCTTATTTCAATGGGATCGAAAGCTGTATGGTATGTCCCACGCTTCGCTCTGAAATTCGTGTCATCCTGAGTGCTAATATAAGTTTAAATTAGTGTCACCCTTACCTCCTTCGACACCCTAATTGATCTGTGGTTTAAAAGTGGTACATTTAATTCATGCAGTTCCCTCTTCTGTCGAAAAGTGCACGTCTACAGAAGTTGGTTTCTTCATCGGATGAAGGAAATAGTGATGAAATCCTCATTCATGACATTCCAGGCGGTTCCAGTGCCTTTGAAATATGTGCCAAGTTCTGTTATGGAATGACTGTTACCCTAAATGCTTACAATGTTGTTGCTGCACGCTGTGCAGCAGAGTATCTAGAAATGCATGAGACGATTGAAAAAGGAAACCTCATTTACAAGGTTGACGTTTTTCTCAACTCAAGCATTTTCAGAAGCTGGAAGGACTCTATAATAGTACTTCAGACGACGAATTCTCTATTACCATTGTCCGAGGAACTGAAGTTAATCAACCACTGCATCGATGCTATTGCTTCAAAGGCCTCTGTCGATGTTTCCAGAGTGGACTGGTCCTATACCTATAACAGAAGAAAGCTCCCCGAGGAAAATGGGAATGATCACAGCTGGGATGGTGTCAGACGCCGAATGGTGCCAAATGATTGGTGGGTTGAGGACTTGTGTGATCTTGAAATAGAGTTATATAAGCGGGTTATTGTTACCATTAAAACCAAAGGAATTATATCTAATGAAGTGATTGGAGAAGCTTTGAAAGCTTATGCTTATAGAAAGCTGCCAGGCTCTAGCAAGGATGTTATGCAATATAATTATTTTTCAAAGCTTCGCCCATTATTGGATACAATTTTTTATCTTTTGCCTGCAGAAAAGGGCAGTGTCTCATGTAGTTTCTTGCTGAAATTGTTAAAAGCAGCCATTTCTCTCAATTCTGGAGAAATGGTAAAGGAAGAACTGATAAAAAAAATTGGGCAGCAATTGGAGGAGGCTTCTGTGAATGATCTGTTAATTCGAGCTCGCGAAGGGGAGCCGTCTGTGTATGATGTCCAACCAGTCCAGAAAATACTTGAAGAATTCATGATGCAAGATCAGAATGCAAAAACTGAAATAGGAAATGAGGATGAGATTCAAGAAATTAGAAGGCAGGGGATCTTATCGGAAGCTTCAAAGCTTATGGTGGCAGAGCTAATTGATGGTTACGTAGCCGAGATTGCAAAGGATCCTAACCTACCTTTGTCAGTGTTCATTGGTATCGCAGAGATGGTTTCTAGCTTTTCTCGACCGGTACACGATGGCCTTTATGGGTCAATCGACACGTATCTCAAGGTAATGTTTGTCAAAGCTTTCTGCACATAATCAAAAGAAAGATATAGTGGTCAACATTATTAGCCGTCTTCCCAACATTGATCAGCATCTTAGTAACTGATATTTGTTCCTTCTACAAAGTTCTATTTGATATAACATTTTCTGATTTGAGTAGGAAAACAGTAAGTATAAGTATTACAATATCATAGAACGATATTGTGAGTGTAAAAATATGATGGTTGCCACTTTCAAAACCTATCATTAACCGAATCTATGGTTGTTGTATAGGTGCACCCTGGGATCAGCAAGAGCGAGAGGAAGAGGATATGCCGGTTGTTTGACTGCAAGAAACTCTCAGCAGATGCATGCATGCATGCAGTGCAAAATGAGAGACTTCCTTTGCGCGTAGTAGTCCAGGTGCTGTTTTTCGAGCAAGTTCGAGCTTCTGCATCATCCGGCAGCAGTACTCCCGATCTACCTAAAGCTATTAAAGACCTCAACCGTGCCTCCTATGGGAGCTCAAGGTCTGCTACGACTAATGCAGATGAAGATTGGGATGCTATGGCTTCTGCTGCAGAACTTAGAGCCTTAAGAGGGGAGGTGGCTGCCTTGAGAGTGGAGAATGGAGTAGTGCATGAGAGAAATTATGGAGATAATAAGATAAATTCTGACAAGGCTGCCATTAGTAAAATGAAAGGGCTAATTACATCGAAGAAAATATTTTCCAAAAAATGGTCGAGCAAATCGGGACAGGCGACTGAGAATAGCGGTTCGGATTCTTCAGAAAGTCTTGGATCTACCAACCTCGATGAAGCCAAGTCGATGACCATAAGAAGAGGGAGGCAGTCTGTTACTTAGCATAAAAATTCTGGAGGATGTAATTTTGCTGATATTTTGTTTTGGGGATTTTCGTTTTTAGTCCTCCATGTTGCAGTCAGTCGAGTGTACAACACTGCTACTGTATACTAAACGTATCCTATGTGTGTTACAGAATTTCAAGATAGACTTATCATAAGATGATGAGAAAGAGAAAAATATTTAAACAAATTGAAAGATTTATCCACAAAAGTTTTACTTTGAAATAATCACCACATTGTTTCCCCATGTCCAAAGACCTTGCTGTATGGAAGCCAACAAGAGTTATGATAAGTGGAGAATTAACTTAATCGAAAATAAGTAAAAGTTAAAAAAAACAAATGAAAAACGTTAGCCAATGGTGGCTCTATGAAGTGAGTAAACCATCATTTGTCTCTTTATTCCATGGAAGGCCAGAGTTGAAAGAATGAGGCCAAAAGTGTCCCTTTCCAAATCTTAGCTATGCAATTGAATTATCACCTCAAAACATTGCTCAGTGGTACTTTCCAAACATTTGGAGATCAGAATCCATTACCACTATAAAAATACAGCCAAATAATATAATATAAAAAACTAACCTAAATTCCTATATGGGCTGGATTTCCATTCTTTACAAACATCATTTCTGTATTGGAATTTACATTAAAAAATACAAAAATGTTGTTCTTGTGGTCCATTTCAGATAAAGACACCATGAATTGGATTAAGATGCCACGTACAATGGATCTTCTTCGTCCTTGGTTCTGGCCTCGATTTCAGCTTCGTCCTTATAAAATTTACTGTAATAATTTTGAAAATAACGAATAAGATTCTTTGTCTAACTTGAGCAGATATGGTTAAATAAAATAACGAGTACTTGAACAATGTAGTAAGCTCCCTGTATAATGGGACGATGACAAAATTACAAACAAAAGATTTATAATATAAGACATATATGTCGAGTTAATTCTTATCAAATGCTATTGAAACTTCATGTGCAAAACGTTACATTCCATGTAATGAACATATTATATAATACTGTAGCCTCTGTCTCATAAATTTATAAATAAGAATAATAAGCCCGTGTTTAACTCTGAGGGGTTGCTCAATTGGTCAGACATTGGGTTTGCTCCACAATGGTCACCAATTCGAATCCCCTCAGGGCCACTGAGGTGAGTACCTAGCCGTAAACTTCAAGGCCCCGTGGAATTAGTCGAGGTGCGCGCAAGCTGGCCCGAACATCCACGGTTATATAAAAAAAAAAAGCCGTGTTTGGTGTAGCTTTAAATTTTGATAAGAATTGAAGTCAAATTTAACAATTAATTTTAATTATATATTTCTTAGGACATATAACTTTTATTTACTTTGCAATCCCATAATTAATTAACTTTTATTTAAATTTTTATCGAAACGGAGGATAAAGAAGGTAAAGGGGAGTGGTGGGTTATAACGTGATGTAGTGAAAGATGAGTCATATGCATGTATGTATCACAAACCACTTGGAGATGGAATCTTACCTAGCAGACCTTTACATGTTCGAAGGACAAATCGATAAAAATATCACTTATACGCATGAATAGCAAATTTTATAGAAATACTACGAATGATTTTTTTTTTTTTTTTTATGTACTTATAATTTAGATGTGGTCGTCTGAACAACAAGCAACGTTACCTTAAAGAAATTATTATGAAATTTCGCATTTTTTGTTTCATTCTTTTATTGCGGTGATCATTATTGGCATGGTGCATGGCTTAATGCGCTTTATTGTTCGTCTAGTTCATTCTTTTTCCATAAATCTTGATATTCTTTATTGCGGTCTTTTAGGTCGTTCTTTGTTAAAATTAACAAAAATCATTTAAATTTTGAGAAGAAATAATTTTATTCTCTAATAATGTAAATAAATAAAAAAGAGAGAAAGGAAGAAATAAGAATTATGTTGTTTTACCAGATGAAAATACCACCTTAATCGATATATGGAAAATTTTATTTGTACAATCGAGGTTGACAACCTCTCACATATGTGGGGGGTCTGTCAGGGAGGTGTAACGGCGTAGCAGGATTGAAGAAATAACGGTGTGAGCATATATTCAGTATGATTGGAAAAGAATTGGCGGAAAAAAGAAGCCACCCGTTTCGCGGAGACAAGGAGCCGCTCTTGCCCAATACTTTGGAACCAACCCACCCAATATCATGTCTAGTCAGCCTCCATTATGAAAAGAGGAAAGTTTTTTTTTCTTTTTTTTCCTTTCAAATTTTCACTCTTTTTCTTTTTAGTAAGTTTTGATATAAATGTTTTAGTTCAATTTGATTGTTCATTTTCTAAATGAGAAACTAATTTTCAAAATTATGATTAAAATGAAATACTTATCACAAAAAGATAAAACAATACTTTCTTTAAACCAAAACAAATTATTTTTTTCTAAATTAAAGTTAAAATATGAACGTACTATTATATCTAGGGAAAATTCCTCAAGTATAGGGATTCTTTCAGGGAATCTCGCAGCACCTGAGTTGCAGACAGTTTTTTGAATTTTAGTCACTTATCGATGAATTTGTGTCATGTGGAATTTTGTAACATTTCTGTGAAAATTTCCCTATACCTATAGCATTACTCTATATCTAGCCTAAGAAAGATATAAAATGAGAAATTTTTATTTAGGCACCGTTTGCTAACCATTATTCTAGAAAAAAATACATTCTTTGTGTCAAATCACACTTTTTTTGTGGTTGAAAATGAATGAAAAGTTATTGATGTGATGGAAAATATTATTTTATTGATGAATGTGTGGTTGAAAATTAGTAGAAGAATGAGAATGAAAAAAAGAATGAATACCAAACAGAGGCTTAGAGGACACTTTTTGTAATTTCTAAAATGAAAAGGATGTCTTTATATTTATCATAAATTATAGAGGAAGTTGTTGTAATTTACTCAAAATACAAGCTCACTAACCATAGTTTACTCCACCCGACCCCACCCCACCCAAATGCTAATAATTCTCAACTTTTCTCCACATCACATGCACACCCTTCACCCCACCCCACCCCACCTCACCCAACCCGTTACCCTCTATATATTTCTAGCCTTCTACTTCCTTCAAGTCCAGCGGAAATTCTCTCTCTCTCAGTCTCTCTCACTCCCTCTCTAATTTTTGCTTTCGTTTCTCTCTCTTGTTTGAGAAATCTGCAACTTTGATGCCCCTAAGAAAATGAGCTGCAATGGTTGTAGAATACTTCGAAAAGGGTGCAATGAAAATTGCATTCTTAGACAAAGTTTACAGAGCATAGAGAGCCCACAAGCACAAGCCAATGCCACTGTCTTTGTTGCCAAGTTCTTCGGCCGTGCTGGGCTTATGTCCTTTCTATCTTCAGTTCCCGAGTCTCAAAGACCAGGTAGATAATACATCTCGTCTAAAAGTTTAAGCTAAATCGAGTTTGTGCGTGCAATTATTGATTGTTGATTATGATTTTTTGTATTGCAGGATTGTTCCAATCTTTATTATTCGAAGCTTGTGGAAGAACTGTAAATCCAGTGAACGGAGCAGTGGGATTACTGTGGACGGGGAACTGGCACGTGTGCCAGTCGGCGGTGGAGATTGTGCTGAAAGGTGGCGTTTTGCGGCCGTTGCCAGAATTTTCTGGGTTGATTCAGTCGCCGGAGTTTGTTGAAGGATCAGAAGCTAATAACACGGATTTTTACAGATCGCAAGATCTAAACTTGAGGGTTAAAAGGAAAGGTTTTGATGATGGGCAAAATGACCTAAATCTTGGTTTGACAGTGGGTTTTCCGGCGAAAACAAGAAAAAATGGGCTGGTTGAGGAACGGAGGCCGGCGTCTCCCTCGGACGAGTCTGAAACGACGACGTTGGAGAGTGGAATTCTGTGTAATCAAGAGTTGCAACAAAATCACCATGGACCGGAATCAAAGCTTTTGAGACTCTTTTTCTAAGCTTCTTTTTTAAGCCTTCCAACTATTTTCCCCTTTTTTTTTTTGTGTGTGTGTTTTTCGGCTCAATTAAGGTTTTCTTCTCTCTTTTTGGGCATTTGATTTCTCAATTTTGCACTAAGAGGAAGAAACATTTTAGAATCATAGAGATCAAAGTTGCCTTGCGTATGAATTTTGTACTAACACAACTTCCTTTTCGTTTTTCTTAATAAATTTGAAGTTGTCTATATAAATTATTTTGCATCGTTTCATTGTCGCACACTAAATAATTTTTTTTCCTAAGACAAAGTTTCATATGGACGATTGGAATAATAGACCAATGTCTCTAATAATTGGCAAAGGCACAATTAATATGTATTATCCTCAACATATTTAAATTAATCTTGGCCGAATATTCTTATCAAAGCCTTTTTATAGTACAATTAAAAAGCATTAAAAAATGGAGTGCCCTCATCCATTACTTAGCGCTTTATCGATAAATAATGTTATCTAACATTAATAATGGTACAACGTCAATTTAAATGGCACTATTCTAGTCGAATCAAGTTGGTCGAGTAAATAGACCACATTTCATGCATTTTGAGTCGTGAAAGAGGCGTGCAAAGAGCGCAGTGAAGGAGGGACCTACTAGTACTACTTTACACAAGTTGCACGTATCTATTTAATTAATAAAAATGGATTGGGTAGTATGTCATGAATTTTAATTAATTACAATTATAATATTAATTTTCAATCATAAAATCTTTGTTAAATTGCTATATTTAAGGAAATGTTTCACTTGAAATTTTTCAGAACAAACTTAACTTCATAAAATTATACGTATGAGATATGTATTTAAGTAGATATATGTCACAAACTTTTGTTTGTGTCACTCATTGAGAACGCGACAATTAATCCTAAATGATTTGATTCTTATCATGTCAAGAAATATTGTTGAGGGAATCTTATGGTAACACGTTTCTATTTGTTTATAATTTAAATTATTTATAAATAATTTCAAAACAATTTTCAAGAATCACATTTTTTTTTTTTCGTATTAAATTGAATGATGCCATCCCCATTAATGAGCGACCTGCTTTGAGTCGCTGCGTACGCATTTCTTTTTTGGGATACGGACAAGTACCCAATACTTAAATTACCTATTCACCCTCAACAGTGGATGCTTTTCAAAGGTGGGAATGGAGGGCCAAAAAGTAAAGAAATAGTAATGGCAATTCATAAATGAACCATGCTACTTGTACAAGTAGTTCAAAATCATTGTGCAAATTCATTGTATAAGTAGTTTAATTCTTCATAAATTCCTGACATAGATCCAAGTGCTTGTTTAGCATAACTTATTTGAAAATAGATATAAAAACAGGTGTGCCATGCACGTGTCATTCAATGATTCGACAATTAACAAAAAAAATTACCCAAACAGGTGCTGATATATACACCTATTTTTTCCCCATTGTCACTGACCATGTTTGAATAACTTTACCCATTCAAAAATCTTCTTAAGTCAATAAAACTTCAATGTGAATATAGATTTAGTCTATGTTTGAGCCCCATTATTAAAGGAAAAGAAAAGGCTTTTTGGTAATTATTATTGGGTTCGTAGACTAGAAAACAGTGAAGCATAGTGGACACAAACACTGCAACCCTGCTGGTTCATTTCAGACAAGAATAGTACCAATGCACATTCAATTGTTTGACTTTTTTGTCTTGTTTATACTGTCAGTCAGGTGGGTGAGGCTTCTCAACTATACAGCACGAGTTGTAGCTCAAGATGGGGGTGAGGGTGGGGAGACAAGAACTACAGATAATTAATTATATTCCAAGATTTTGGAGTCTGGACGACCATGTGTACTAGTTGCATAGTGTCCCATGCATAAAAGACACAACCTAAGGCTGTTTCACATGTATGTAATCATCGTGTGGATTCTTTTCAACTTAAATCGGTATTCGGGACATTCATCACGAAAAGAAAGAGTCAAAGGGTTCAACCAAAATCGACCGGAGGTAAAAACAAAGAAGAAAATAAACATGTTCCCTACCAACACATCTGCCAATAAAACACAATCAGACAGCACTAAGATTAGAACAATAACATTATTTACATCAGTTTTTCATTTTCCTAGACAAGCAGAAAAAAAAGGAAAAAGGACAGTGTACAACTAATTGGTGAGAATGAAATATAATTTCCTGTAACATTGGATACCTGGATTACAGAGGACTGAAGCATTGATGTGTTAAAAAAAATCCAATATGAGACTAGTCATCAGGTCAATTCTTACATCCACCATTGCTACCTCCAGTAGGCCAAAAAGGTTTTGGTGTAGTGTTAGCATTTGGAGTCGACAGTCAAATATAATCAGTTCTAAGGGTCTTGGTCAGGCTGATGATACACAGTTACGTTGTAGCATATGTGTTCTCAGACTAGTTTCTTTAACCTGTAGGTTTAGTTGGCAAACAAATTATCCAAATGATGCAAAAAAATTATTGGGAAGAATGCAAAATTTGTGTTTACCTGCATTGCTGCTATCATGGATATAAAATCCGTGCACTGTTCAAGTAAAGCCCGCTCTTTAGCCGTGACTTTTGCAAGTTCAGTCACTAATGAGTCTGCTTCTTCAACCTGAAACACGATTGAAATTGTTCTGCATAGGTCAGCCATGTAAATACAACAGCTTTTGGCTGAAATTCAAAATAACATTCTAGTCCCATCTCTCTCTTATCAAACAAGGCTTATCCAGAGATTGCGTCGAAAGAACAAAATGGAAACATTTTAGTCTATGCTTATTATGACTGGAAAGGGAACACAGCCAAAGACAACTAATGGTCCTATCACCTATGTACTCGTTCCAATGTCACTATGGATAAGGAGGGGTGGGGGGTATCTTTGACTTCTTAAGCATGTTTGGCAGAGCTTTTGAATCTTACGAAATGTGTGGATAAAATTAGAGTTCAACCAGCTGCAATTATAAGCCAAACATGCACAAGATAGCAAAATCAACCCCAATAGACTATTATTTGCAGCAAAATGCAAACAGAAGCAGTTTTCCTACATTTTTTATTCTCAAAAGCTACCATTCCTTCTTTGCTCACAACCCAAAATAAACGAGGGCATAAAATTAAGAAAATTCCACCCGCATCACCTCTGTCAGGAATTGTTTTCAGCGCTGGTGTATTTTTTTCAATAAATCATAATTCACAATACCATTGTCAAATTTTAATTCACATTCAAGGGAAAGCATGCTGTAAACAAGAGTAAATGAGATTACCCTTGGCAGAAGTGAACATATTGAGGATGCCATTGTCTGCATCACATCAACTGTGGAACTAATAGCATCTTTCAAGCTTTGCATGTCGGCCTGTCAAAATTGATTCTCGATTTTGTCAAACTAAATTAGTTTTACACTTAAGGCTTAGAACATTAGCAAAAAGAAATGAATACTGCAGGACACATACAATTGCTCCTCCAACAACCGGAAGACGAAGAGTGCTAGCCTTCAAAGCTTCAATAGCTCCTAGCAAAGAAATTGAGTGGTTTTTATCCAAAGAAGCCCAATCTTCCAAAAAGGACATCTACATCAGAAATATGAACTGACTTTAGATTGGTCGAACTGAAAATATCTACATCATACCCACATCCACAGGCACATACCCACCAACAAAGAAAGGGAAGAGATAGTTCAAACAAATTCCGAGATAATGTAGGTTTCACCGAAGAGAAATTAGTTGGAAATCAAATAAAAATAAATAAATGTTACAATAAAAGAAATTTAAGTTATAATACTATTAACCCGCAACTCATGCAAGGATACCATATTCGAAGTATACAGACTTAAAGAATAGTGGTTGCAAGTCAATGGCACTCAACCGTATGCAAAAATATATCTCCATCTATAAAAACTCTAAAATGATCTCATATTGAATCACATCATCAACAACTTGCCAAAATTATTGATCTAAAAGTATCCATTCAAGCCCCCGTTTGAAACCCATTTTTTCTCATTCTCATTTTTTTCTCTTTCTTCATTTCAACCACACACTCTATTAATAAAATAATACTACACATCATTTTTTCTCATTCTCATTCTCATTTTTTTCTCCTTCTTTATTTTAACCACACATTCTATCAATAAAATAATACTACACATAAACCCAAAAATTCTCATTACTTTTTAACCACACATTCTTTCATCAATCACTATTCCAGAATTTATTTTTTTCCAAAATGAGTGTCAAACAGGGGCCAAATATGGGTAAAAAGCTAAGAAATATCAATATTTCAAGATCAATTCTTCCTAGCACTATCACAGTAACAGTAAGAGACTATTATAGAGACATCCCATCAGATAACTAACAGAAACAATCCCTCTCTTTCTAAAAACTGGTCTGAGTTGAACGTGCATTGCATGTTATTCTGAAATACTTTATAAGTACTGTTAAAGTAATATTTGATACCAATTTATTGGGAGAATTTGACAAGTCTCAAATGAACTAAAGAAAATAAAATTTAGGATATAAATTTAAGAGAAGAAAATTGTACTTTCAAATTTGGCATCCATTAATTTTTAAAAAAAAATTCTCTTTCTTAATTACAACCACACATTCTCCAAATAAAATAATATTATACACAAATCTAAAACTTTTCATTACTTTTCAACCACACATTTTTTCATCAATCACTATTCCAGAATTTATTTTTTTCCAAAATGAGTGTCAAACAGGGGCCAAATATGGGTAAAAAGCTAAGAAATATCAATATTTCAAGATCAATTCTTCCTAGCACTCTCACAGTAACAGTAAGAGACTATTATAGAGACATCCCATGAGATAACTAACAGAAACAATCCCTCTCTTTCTAAAAACTGGTCTGAGTTGAACGTGCATTGCATGTTATTCTGAAATACTTTATAAATACTGTTAAAGTAATATTTGATACCAATTTATTGGGAGAATTTGACAAGTCTCAAATGAACTAAAGAAAATAAAATTTAGGATATAAATTTAAGAGAAGAAAATTGTACTTTCAAAACTCAACTTCTATAATTCAAAATTTTTTTATGATGAAATAATACAAATAAGAAATATTTTTATACTAAATTTGGTACATAAGAATTAATTGCTAATACTTGAATTTAAACACATACTTAAATAAATATAAATTCATTTATAATGACGCTAGATTTATGTAAATCAAGATTAATCAAGTCAAGATTCATTGGGTCCAGATTAATGTGAATGTTAATTAATTGAAAATTAATAATATGAAATTCATACATGAAAAGGATTTTGTAGGAATTATTATATATTGAAAAACGAAAAATAAGATATTATTGAAATAATTAAATTATAACGTGTATTGCACGTTATTCTGAAATACTTTATAAGTGCGGTAAAAGTAATATTTGATACCAATTTGTTGGGAGGATTTGATGAGTCTCAAACGAAATAAAGAAAATATAAATTTGCGAGAAAAAAATTGTACTCCCAAAACTCAACTTCCATGATTCAAATTTTTTGTAATAATAAAATAATATAAATGAGCAACATTTCTATACTACATTTGGTACGTAAAAAATAATTGCTAATACATGAATTTAAACACCCATTAAAATTCCTAGATACATTAATAGAAATAAATTCATCTATAATAACTTTAGATTCATGTAAATCAAGATTCATTGAGTCTAGATTAATGTGAATGTTAATTAATTGAGAATAATAATAAGAAATTCTTACATGACAAGGATTTTGTAGCATTTATTACACATTGAAAAACGAAAAGGTATTATTGAAATAATTGAATTGTAGTAAGGTTAAAATCGTCCAAAACTTATTCTCACTTGATGTGATATTTAATATATTATAGATAAAAGACACCCTTGAGGTTTGTTCTTCACACAATTCTTCCTTACTCATTTTTTTAGGCATTTTATGTGTACTACCTAAACTGTCCTTACTAAATGAAAAAAAGGAAAAAAAATCCCTAAATTGCAGCTGACCCCAGATGATAAAATTTCAAGTTTCAAAAAGCCTTGGACATTGCAAAGGACTGAAGAATAGTTACATCGATCGCTGCCAGTAAATGGACATTGCATGCACTACTAATTTCTATAGCTTCTGTCAAGACGTTTATGTAGTTAAATTTCTACTATGACATTGCCAGTAAATGGATCGTACGCCTCAATCACTTCTTTTGGGGTAAGATTTGAATAAATTTTATACATAAAAGAACCAAGTGTGTTTTAACACTGTGCCATTGTCCTCTTAATATAACAAGTAGCAAGTCAATAACACCAATCAACATGACCACCAGAGAAAATTTCCAACCTTAACCGGAAAGATCACTATAATCATTTATGACTATAATATACATAATTTAAGCTATATAAAAACTCAATGAAAATATAGATCTGATGATGGAAAATTTATCATATAAAATAATAACTGTTACTATCAGTTACGACAAACCAGTAAGTAAATATTTCTAACTGCAGTTGCAGTCCAACTTTATACTGACATTAAACCATTCATATCTTAAAAAGAGATTTCTACAGTTGTGTCTTTGGGTCAAAGGATTCCCATGTTCGACAATAATTTTGCAGCTAAATGTAGGAATAGAGCTTACTTGACCCTTGAGAATGGAAGCTAGTTTTAACTTTTGCCTCAGCAATTGCAATCTGTGTCTTTTTTTGGTGACAGTATCGCGCAGATCAGAGATTGTTATCCATGCATTCCATAGGTTTTTCTGATGAAGAAAGGAAAAAGTTCAAATACTTTTATGTGCAGAAAAACACTTCAATAAGAAAACCCAGCAACAAGTAACCTTTTATACAGAGTGCAAACACACACAACATGATAGTAAAAGTAGGTTGCCATGAAAAATATTAGGTATGAACATTCCAAAGAGACTAAAACAAAATTATCAAAGAGGTGAAAATCTAATACATCAAATAAAATTAAGAATAAGAGACATGTAAATATTCAATGTAGAAGAATCAAAAAAGAGAAACTCAAAAGTTGTTCACGAGGTCCAGATTGAGAGATGTATCAAGTTTGAACATACTGAGCAACTTGCACTACAACTCACTTCATGTCCTGAATCGGACAAAAAAGAACATATCCAAAAACTTGCATTCAGAACAATCGCAAGAGCTATATGCACATTGTCATATTGAAGATAGAAGCCATAAAAAAGAGGGAAAGAGAATAAATGGCAAGAAGGATAGCAAAAATTACATAATCTAGAAAAAGAATAAAAATAACATAAGGTAGCCTTTAAACCTTTCATTAACATATTTATTTTAATGATTTTAGCCTTAATTTAGAGCTCACATCAAAGGTACTCCTAGAGAATACTTGTAAATTTTTACACATGGAAGTGAAGCTTCTTGAAAAGGAAACTTCCAAGTTCCAACAAAATACACACAAATCAACAAAAAGGAAGTTAAAATAAATAATAGAATTGACCTCGATATCTGTTCGTGTATTTTGCTTTTAAAACATCATGAATTATAATTCCGATTGTTGCATTTTTCAAGGCTAGATTTCATCCGTTCATTTGTCCATTATTCTAATAATGTGAAAGACTTTCAACGTTGAGGAAGGATACACATTATTTCCTTCTCTATGACTAAACTGTTATCATAAGCCACATAGTAATTCTATATATGTCTGTTTTAACCTGAAGTTAGCACACACTAATTGTCAATGTCCTCCAATGATATCAAAATTGGTCCATATGAGTAATTATCTCAATCAACTTTAGTTCTTACTAACACGGGTTCATCACAAACACACATCATCCTGATATATATGCTGGACATCTATGAAATAGCGCAAGACCAAAAGAATTATTAGAGACAGATAATTTTAAGATTTTGTGAATTATAGAAATTGTACTATGTTAACACCGCACAGCATTAGTAGCATCAAATTGGCTCATGACAAACATTAGATTACATCTGTGTTGCCACGTTTCTACATTTGGAAAATAACCAAGTCTACTGCTAAGAGGCATAGTTGCATAAGTCCAGGGGCGGATGCATAGGGGGCACAATCAAACTTGCAAAGAAGTTGGGAAAAATTTTACAATCGAAAATTTACGTTCAAAAAAATCTTACCCCGTGTAGTTTTGCATCCGAAAATTTACATGGGATATAACTTTTTCGGATGTAAAATTTCGAAAATTTTTGATGTTATATTCCATATAAAATTTCCTAATAAAATGATGAAAATTACATTGAGAAATTTGTATCGCAAAAATAATAAATGTTAATGAAATAATTGAATTTTTTTTAAAAAAATGCGAGTTAGATGTCTTTCTTTAAAACTCATCTCCTGTAGATACTTTATCGCGTTCGCCAAAAGAATTATTAGAGACAGATAATTTTAAGATTTTGTGAATTATAGAAATTGTACTATGTTAACACCGCACAGCATTAGTAGCATCAAATTGGCTCATGACAAATATTAGATTACATCTGTGTTGCCACGTTTCTACATTTGGAAAATAACCAAGTCTACTGCTAAGAGGCATAGTTGCATAAGTCCAGGGGCGGATGCATAGGGGGCACAATCGAACTTGCAAAGAAGTTGGGAAAAATTTTACAATCGAAAATTTACGTTCAAAAAAATCTTACCCCGTGTAGTTTTGCATCCGAAAATTTACACGGGATATAACTTTTTCGGATGTAAAATTTCGAAAATTTTTGATGTTATATTCCATATAAAATTTCCTAATAAAATGATGAAAATTACATTGAGAAATTTGTATCGCAAAAATAATAAATGTTAATGAAATAATTGAATTTTTTTTAAAAAAATGCGAGTTAGATGTCTTTCTTTAAAACTCATTTTTTAAAAAATGCGAGTTAGACATATTTTTTGTAAGACTCACATTTAACGTATTTTTAACTATTTTTGATATCTATTTGGACTATTCGATATGTCAATAATGTAATTCTCGAAATAAGTTTTGAGATGACATGAGCAATTTGTAGATTTGATTAGCGTACAATTGTCTGAGAATTTTTAAAATTAGCATGTTATCGAAATTCAAATTTATTGTGATTTTGCCCCTGTTTTGTAGAAATTAAAATCAATTTTTTAGTAAATTTTGATAAAAGTTAAACAGTTATGGATTCCATGAAATATGTTATTAAAATTAATTGTTAACTTTAATTTAGATTAAAATTTAGATTAACAACTGAGATTATTTCTGGTGATTCCAACACATTTTTACAGATTGTTTAAGACAGATAGTGAATTATGATTTACACAACTACTTCATCAATGTGCTTCACTGCTTTGAGTATCAAATTTGTCAGCAATTCTCTATAAATTAGCTTCTTTACAAAGATCAGTTGCTACTAGAGCAGATATTAACCAAGTGAGAATGAACATAAAATTCATGAGTACGAAAAGTGATATTCATTATTACAAATCTCAAAAAGAAAGAGAAGATGATCATTTCAAGTCAAAGAATGTATCTAACAGAAAAACATGAATATTAATATAACAGATATTATCTGGCCAGAAGGATATGTATTGATACTGCTGCTTAAGAGATGTGTAGGAAAGCATAGCGGAAAAATTAACTCATGACAACGGAAATATAAATCATGTTTTTTTAATTTTATGTGGACTCGATATCTTAATCTACACCAGTAAAAAATCACTAAAGTAAGGGAAAACTCTACAGGACAAAGATAAACTACACCCTAACTTTTTTATTGCGGCTGAGTCAGCTCAATCTCACAGCAGTGAGAAACAAAGACAATCACCAAGTCTAAATCACAAAAAGGGAAATGCAAAGCAAACAAGAAATGTGCAATCAAATTTCCTATGATAAAATTAAACATGTGAACGAAACTGAACTGCACCTGTCATTTATCAAGTACACATGCAACAGCATAATTCCTTTTTCTTCCGTTTTGGATTTATGTGCTTCCTTTGTTATTTACATTAGAATAACATATGCATTGAGACAGTGACCATAGAGATCAAAGGAAAGAGCCCTTCGACAGTTCCACAGACAAGAGAACTCTCTCTGCTAAATTAGGGCTAAGACATGAAACATTAACTCACTATAGCTAGCTTACTTTGACATATGAAGACTCGAAGAGCCTAGTATTTTAGGAAACCATACCAACAAATATGAAACACATTGTCCTATAGCCTGCACCACAATTCTCTATGTTTGTTTTCCTATTGCTAACTGAGTTAACATGTGATTTTGCCAAACAGCATCTATATTTTTATTGTTCATCTTTATCTCAGTACAGGAATTGTCAGTTAGAATCTTAGATATCACACATAGGTCTTCGCATGCTCAGTGGAAATAGTTGATTCCCAATTTTCCAATATAATGGTTTCAACATGTAACCTAGAAGTGTTTATCACCACAACTTGTAAAGAAATCAAATCATGAAGTTAGCATCAGAAATAAAAGAATAATTACGTCCACATTCTGACTTGTGCAAAATTTTTGAATGAACCATTTACCAGGAAAAAGTAAAAAAAATACACATACCAAACATGCTTGTAATCCTCCATTAGATTATTAGTTTTGAGACAATTATATCCTTTCAACAACTAATATGTACTCCCAATACATTCATCTTCCTGTATTTCCTCCACCAAGCATCTTATACGTCCAATAAAACTATAACTTAAATATTAGCGGTGTACAAACTGGTTCCATATATTTGAAGATCACAAGATGCAAGAGAAAAGTGGTGAAATTCTATTATGACCGTTTGCGTCTATCAAAAACATGTGTAGCACAGTTAAATATTTCAACAAAAACAAGGCATTAATTCATGTGGAAAGGGTTAATCAGCTATCCTTCATGCCTTGGAACATACCCTAGTGGATGTTGCACTCAGAATCCAAATGTTTTACACTACAACAACAAAGGTACCAAACTGGCACAAAACTCAATTACAGGTTTGCACATTTGTATTGCTCTGACAGTACCTAATAAAGAGAATGGTAGCTAAATTCTTATGTACTCGTAACAATTCATTTATCCCGCTTGGTTTCACCAAGATTATCGAGTGTTAAGCATAGCATTTGTTACACAAAAAAGTAGTTATGATCATTGTCAAAAAAGAAGCATGCATGGACTGTCACTAGCTAAATTGAAAGCAACCCATCAAATTTTGTATACTCAAAACCACAGTTCTCACCTCTGCACTGTGTTTCTGCACCAGCAGGACAGCTTCAGTTCTAGCATTTACAAAGCGCCACTGCAGTTGTCGATTGTACAGAAGCCTCAACAAGTGTGCGTCAAAAATGCGGTTCTCTCCAACCTTCCCCCTCCTAACGTCAACGGAAAAACTAAGAACTGAGGGTGCCTCACTAAAATTATTGCTAATTGTGCTAACAGCATTTCTGACACGAGATGGAGATGATCCGACAGGTGTATTAAGCTTGCTGGGAGATGCAGCTCTAATACCTCCACGAATAGGAGAAGACATCATTCTCGGGGAAGACAGCGGACCATCACTTGGGAACTTTTTCAATTTCGGAGGCACAATCAGCTTGGACCCAGGACTCGTCGATAAGAGTGAACCTGGATCCTGCAACCTCCTCAATCGACTATTTGTTTCTTGCCAAAATCTAGCCGAAACAACAATTCCGCGAGGCCCATTACGGCCATGGGAGGCCCCACCACATTCTTGAGCTCCTGAAGTACTACCAGAAGAGACACTATCCGTATCAGATGCAGTGAGATCAGATTGCAGAGAAGACTCGTGATTTACCAAATTTCCATCCGGCGCGGCCTTGAGAAGCTGGGAACAGCCCAAATCAAGACTAACCCTGCCATCCAAGGATGCCCTACTCTCATCAATCAATGATTGTTGCAATGTTCGAATCACATTTCCAGATCCAGTGAGCTTACTCTTCTCATCACCGCTACCACTACAATCCAAACTTCTTGACAATGGATTCACTAGCCGGTTCCGCGCTGGCCATCGATGCTGATCGGCCAGCTTAGTATTCTCTACTTGATCTCCTCCTCCATCGCCCTTCCCTCTCGATGGTGTACTGCTCCTTCTCCTCTCAGGAGTGCCCTTCCTCACACTACTAGAGTTAGGCGAAGGTGGGGCCACCTTAGTCTTACTAACGGGCAGCGAAAACGCTTCACCTTGAAAGGAAACAGATAATCTTCGAGTAGAAGTGACCAAAAGCTTTGTGGCAGCTGAAACCTCATTGCTGCAATTGCTATGCTTGGAATCAAGATCAAGTGCTAAGGGCCTTGCAGACACGGGCCGCCGGCGGTCCACAGAGACAGACCTCTTCGGGCCCGACGAAGGCGTATTCAAAACCGGGGTCGAATTTCTCGAAACCAAAGGAGACGGGTACCTTCTAGAAGAGACGGAAGATGAGGAAACTGAAGAAGCATTTGAGGTTGAAGGGGACATGTATCTTGAAGAGACAATTCTCGATTTGGGCCTTTTAGATGTATTGCCTGAAACACCATTACTATTATCTTTTTCAGAAGGCAATAATGGTGGCCTTCTTGAACGCTCATCTTGAGAGGCGCTGATTTTGGGGTTTTGTGGGGCAGTCGTTGAAGCTGTTCCAGGAGCAGCAACCACCATCATAAATGCCAAGAACACACATACACACACAGTTACAGTGAAAATTCACCACTCACCAACAAGTCCTTTTGATATCACCATTAATCTGCAAAAAAATATCAAGAAATTCCACTGTAGCTCAAGAAACCATAATGAGCCATTGAAAGATTCCACATTCTTCCAAGATTTCTTCACAGGAATCGAAAGGACAATGCTGCTAACTCAAAGACAAAAAAGCCCAGGAAAATTTGTAAATTGAATTGGCGAGAGATTGAGAATTAGGGAGAAGGGGTCACAGAGTTTTGGTGCATTCACTTGGGGGACGAGGTGAATTTGGGGGTTTAGTTGGACTTTGAAGAGACGTTACGCTAACCATAATCAAGAAAATTTAAACTTTATTAATTGATAATACATTTTTCACTTATTTTATTATATTAAAAAACAATTATAATTTAAACTTTATTTGTATTTGTTTTTTTCGGTTTTGGTGATGATAAAGGGCTTTAAGTATCTTAATAGGTATTTTATAGGGATTGATGGGACTATCTCAACTCTCTAAAGAGTCTAAACTCCATTTTTGAGTTCCACATTTTGAAGGAAACCTCTTCAATTTTTCATTGCCCAATCTTCGACGTCAAACATGATGCGATTTAGGAACATTTACGCTTAAAAAATCTCTAATTCACGTTTGAGTCAAGATTCTTGATAATTGTGTAAAGACTTTCGATTAAGTGAACCACAAGTTTGAGTCAATAAACGTAAATAGCAACTTCGATTCTATGAAATTGTAAAAGAGTGAATAGATAATCAAAATAAACGATCATTATGAGGGTGGAGTTGAAATTCTTTCTCCTCTATTATTAATTGTACGCACACTTGCTAATTTAAGTAACAATATCTTTCTTTCTCAACCTAAAATATCGATGTAGAGTATATAGCACAGTTATCATAACTGGGTCGGGCTGACCGTTATCATAATTAGACTAGATCGGCCGGTCAGGCCCGAAAACCGTTAAACTGGCCAGCAGTCTGATCCGGATAGGTTAGTGTTATTTGGTCTATTTGCAAGTGAACAGGTCAGTCCATTTTATTATACTTCGAATTGAATGGGTTTACAGAAAATCAGAACCGGTTCAATGTGTACTGGTTTTTTATGAAATTGGTTCATAGCAAAATTTAATTTCAAATTTGAAGAAGAAGAGATTCGAACCTTTGTAGTTCCGATTCAATGTGAAACGGTTTTTTATGAAATTGGTCCATAGCAAAAGTTAATTTCAGATTTGAAGAGATTCGAACCTTTGTAGCTTATACGGAAAGTTAACATTTATAGAAGCTTTGCAATTTATGTTAGAGAAATATATATGTTTAGTTCAGTAAAAATGACATAAAAAATATATATTTGACTTTTTGTTTTAAAAACAAATTTGCATTAAAACTATAGTCTAGCAATGACCTACCGGTTGAACCAATAACCTGTTGACTCGATGATTTGTTCGGATCAATTCTGATAACTATGGTATATAGTATAAACCTACACCAACCAACATGCCAACCTTTCAAGATGAGTGCCAAATTTCTTTTACTCCATTTGTATTTGTCTAACGGTAAATAAGATGTTAGACTATCAATAAAGAGAATAAATAATGTATAATATGTGATAATTTAAACACACGAGAGAATATAAGAATTACCTCAAAAGCAATTTTAGAATATGAGGAAAGGAAGAGCGATCTATATTCTCTTTAGATTAAGAGCATGTAGCAAATTTGTGTAGGAGAATTTAGAGGAAAGTGTTTTGGCTTGAAAAAGATGGCAATTTGCCTTGTAACATTTGCAAGGAATGACCCAGCTATCCCTTTTTCTTTGTTTTTTAGTCGGCTTATAGGATGCACCGTCGCATTCTATCACTGTCACCCTTGCTTTTAACGCATTTATTTATGCATTAATATGCCTATCTTTGCTCCTAAGTGCCACCGTCAAATTTCGACATTTAGAAAATAATTCTCTATTTTTCAGGTCCATGATAAAAGGTTTAAAAAAAATGACGTGTTGAAGATAAAGGATGAGCCGCATCTTTGACGGCCCCAACCTGTCCTATCTACCCTGAGCTTTGGTGAAAGAAATAAATCGCAGGTTATGCCTCCAATGGTATAGGGTGGAAGGTTGCTTGTACACTTACACTTACCCAATGGCCAAATCCATATTTCAAGATTCGAAACATTGACGCGGCAGCCTCAAGCAAAGTTGGAGTTTTTTTTTTTCCACCTTCCCTTTTTACCACTTGAAGATGTGCTCTGGGGGCTACGACGTATTGAATATAAAATTTTAGACTAAGTGGTCTAACATTATATCATAGCAGATGAAAGATCTTGGATTCAAGTCTCGTCTGCCACCCATATCTTAAAAATTGAACACATTTGAGATTTTCATGAAAAAATTATATACTTGTGTATTTGATCTTATCTAACATTTTAAGTTTCGCAAAATACTCGTGCCAGACTTTGGACTCTATCTTGGCCAAATCTTTCGTATGTCTACTAGGTGTTATTTTTCTCTCGTTTCAACCCATTGCTAGTTTTGCTGAAAGATTTAAATAATTAGATACATAGCAACAATAATGTGTCACATCGATTTTGATATATTCCTTCTTAACTGTCGAAATTGCTCATTATCACCTCTAATTATCAACGTACATAACATAATTAAAGGTTTAGTATTAAAATCAACTCCTTAATCATCACATTTAAAAAGGTTGGAAACAAACAAGTTGAATTTAGAACCTTGTTGTGATGATTTAATGAATATTAATGGTAGTTAGAATATTTGAAGACATGTGTGTGACTTAAAGTACACTCTAATATGTAATTAGTTCAAAAGTAACACATCCATCAATGAGTGAAGGTTTGTTAATTAAGTAATTAGTTAGCCCATTCTCAAAGTGATCAACTATTCAATTGAATCATCGTGTCTAATGGATGGGCCGACCACTTAGGTTTCCAACTTTGTTATAAAGGAAAATGTGAACTTTTAACACCAGCATGTTTTATTATCAACGAAGATAAAGAATATACAGATTGAGAAATTCAACTTGGTCATATGTCAACAAAATAAAGAACTTCCTAGAAATCGAATGGATTCGATCTTATACATATGCGAGGAAGGCAATAACAAAATGAGGTCTTCTTTCTTTCATTGATTAGGAGCCATGCGAGATGAAAATCTCAAATTTTGAAATAGATTTGAGTGAAAATGCACAGGTTAAGAAAAGTAACACAACTCGTGCTAAAGGTCAACTTAGAAGAATGGGTAAGGAAAATAGTTGCCGAATGTCGTAGTGCCGCCAACTGCTGTAGCGTCGTCGTCCTGGCTCCTAATTTACGGACGGATTCGAAATAACAAGAAAATTCAGGGTTGATTTGCACACAAAAAAACTACCTAGGCAGATTTGCAGCATCTAGAAAATTTAGGGATCAATTTGCCGTGTCCAAAAATTCAGGGATCGATTTACAAAATTTAGCGGAACAACGGCGTGTTTGGGGAATGGATCAAAGATAAGCTCAATTAGGGGATCCTACACCACCTTAAAACCCATCGAGTCAAGATTATAGAGTGTTCTGGTAAAATTATTATTAATTTTTAGGATGAATATTGAATAGTATTGAATGCAATGAAAGTTGTGCGTAATAAATGGGTAGTAGTGATAATATATTCGCAAAACTATTTTTGAGAATTATTATTAATTAAACACAGGCAAATTGAAAAGTCATTAAATTAATTAATTAAAGCAATAAATGAATTTTTTAAAAGGTTAGAATAATTTAGGTGTGTTAAATGGGGTTACCCTAGCCGAGCGCAAGTCTGCTCGCTCAACCAAAGTGTGACACGGCTCATCTTTGGTGAGCTCGCGAGCCTTTTCTTATTATTTTATTTTTTGGCCAGTTGGCTCGCATAATTGAAGAATTCATGAATCAACTCGTGCAAATCGATGAGCAATTCGTACAAAAAATTAGTTGTTCGACTGGCTAGTGAGACAAGCGGAGGACTCGCCCACTTAACATGTCTAGGACTAGAGTAATTAACCTACCATACGGCCAGCTTAACCAAATAAAGAAACTGAGATAATCGGTTTCTGCCATATTCTCTCTTCCAAGAAAATCAGGTAGATTCTGTCAGTTCTCATCATTATGCATTTACGAAAACAATGAAAACTTCAGAATGAATTACACTGTTTTCTGGGCTAAGATGATCCTTCGGAAAACCCGGAAATTTTCACAACCTTTTTAGAATATTCGTTGTAGGAATCTCACTCTTGAATCTTGAATGCTTCTTTGCAGATTTTTGCATTTAAATTTCCCTAATTTAATTAATTTTCTTTTCTTGAACTCAAGAACAGAATGAAATGATTATTCCGGTAAATTGGAGTTCCAATATTCAAGATTTATAAGATTTTCTAATACGCATTTTGAAGTTTGATTGCAGGTTGAAAGAAGTTTTGATGTATAGTTCATCTATTGCTTTCTGTGATGATTCTTGGGCTTAATTTTTTTTTATCATTTTGTTTATTTTCCTACTGATATGGTAGAAAACATTTTCCTCTGTATATGTAATTGAGTTAATGTACTTTAATTTCTTTTGTGCCACTTTGGTATCATTCAGATTCGATTCTATGGAGAAGTCTGCCAAGAGACAACTTGATCAAGAATGTGTAACTAGGTTTTCATACTCTTCCATTTTTTGCTCAAATTTTCATAACCAAATAAACGTTGCCATTATGGTGTATTAATGTGTAGATACTCAGCAATCTCTTTCTTTCAGGAAAAAGCAGAAGTCACACTATGAACCTGAACAAGATACCGAGAATAATGACGTAAATCCTATAGCTGGAATCAGTGTAGAGGTAGAGCGTGTACATATTCTTTGTCATTTTTCAGGTTTGAAAGGTTAAGCATTTTAATTTTACGATTTCTCTCTATCAGGAAGAAGAACAGAAGATATTTACGTGGGGTGAGCGAAGTAGAGCTCTGTCACAAGAAGAAACGACATTTCTGCAGAAAAATGCCTTGCAGAGAAAATTGGAGAAAATCAGTTCTGTTGAAAACATACTTCTTGAGAGTTCTTTCAAATATCAGTTTTTTGAAGGTAAATATTCATTGTTTTTTGTCGTTCTGACAGTGTCAATATGTGGAATTAAGAGCAGAACTAAAGATGTGGAACATTGCTTATCACTGGTGAGAAAATTTCTCAGTATAGTCTATTATTAGGAGGTAAGATTTGTTAATGATGTTCTTATCATGTTAAATCTTCAGTGTGTAGAGGTGAGACTGCATGGACTAATAAGCAAATTGATTAAGATGTCAAAGAAGGTTGGTGTGTATAATTTCCTGTTTATGTTCGTCATATCGGCTTCTTTGTCTTTGATTTATATCAAAGCTCATTGAGTCTTCGACAGAAAAGAAGCCTAATGTTGTCCACAGCAGAAGTTCAACATTGTGTCGTCATCTCTAACCAGGAACTTTGGAAGAAGGAGATTATGCGTGATAAAGAGGTAAAATCAAGAATCTTGAGCGCTTGTTCTGTTATTTGATTCATCTCAATGAAGATGTAGTGAGTTCTTTCTGAGAATGGGGAAGTAATTCACTTCAATATATATGTAAATGCAGTTTAGAGGAGAAATTGCTGCTAATGTTGACAGGAACAAAGATATAAAATGTGCTGAACCTTCCCAGGTATTTTCGAATAAAACTCAACAGATATTTCATACTTTTCGTTGGATATAAGACAATGTATTGTTTTTCTTGTTCTGCATTTTTAGGAAAATAAAATGAAAAGAACTGCAGATGAGACACTTCGCTCTGCAAATAGAGCAGCCAGGGCAGCAGCAGGTTGGGACGACATCACATCAAAGTGGAAATTTATGGGCAAACCAGAACGGAAGAAGCAAGAAACTAGTAGTAGTAGTCATCAAGAATCACAAAGAAAAGGTACAATGCTGACTGATTGTGTGTTGAGGCATTTTTTGTTTTGTGTGATGGACGATGAATACATTGCAGGGACAGTAAAGGGGTTTGAGCCCAAGATAACAATCAAGGACATTATTGCACTACTTGAAAGGGAACCTCTTATGTCAAAATCGACACTCAACTACTGCTTATGCAATCGGTAAAATTTCAATTTGCATCAGTTTGAAGAGGTGAGAAATCGAGATTAGAAGAGATGAAATGAAAAACAGATTTGAGCTTTTCAATTCATTATTATCATCCCTGTCTAGCAATTCAAGCTGCTATCCAGTTTCGTCCTGTTACAATTTATAATACCGAGATACACATATCAAGTCTCTATTCGTGATTCTACTACTCTGTTTCACGTGCCAAGCTAGTAAAGAGCAAAGGGAAAGATGATTCTCTACCAACTTAACATCCGAAGTCATAAGGCACCAGTCCTTTCAGCTCAGGTCCATTAAGTCTGTTGTGCTCGAAACTGAAATAAATGCCAGAAAGAAGATCCATCCAGTTATTGTCGTCAACATATAAACAGAACTTGGCATTAGGTACTATCAAAAATTGAATATCGAATATGCCTCTACACTTGAAGGACAACTAGGTCCATCTGTGATACAGTGGAGACTCGTGTAGTCGAACATAACTGTGCGAGTCTCTGTTTTTCTTGTCATTTCAATGAAAAGATTGTTTTTTTTTACTTCAAAAACTTGTATCCAACAGTGGAGATGCACTAATCAGAATCTTAAACACATCAATGTAAAGACGCATAAACGAGGTGGGAACAACAAAGTTCAACTCGAATAACAGTTAAACTTGAGCATAATAAAATGACAACAGAGCTTGCTGTGAAGTACCTTTCCATAGAAAAACTACCAAAAGGGCCATCTACCGGTATTGTTCCACAAAGATCATTGTTGGAAACATCACTGCAAACATACAATTCTCCAATCATAAGCTATAGAAATCAAAACTAAAACTTTTGAGGTATGGAACTACTGCACTTTTCAAACTTACAATACTTTGAGGTTTGATAGAGTGGTTAGTTCCCTCGGAATAGATCCTGTTAGCTTGTTATCGTTTAATCGTCTGCACGTAAACAGCTAATGAATACCAAATTCAAGAATCAAAGAGTGCAGACTTTATCTATTTAATATTTATACTCACAAAAATCTAAGAGACTTCAATTTGGCAAAAGATTTTGGAATATTTCCTTCAAATTTGTTGCCATATAGATCCATGCTAATAAGATTTTTCAACTTCCCCAACTCCTTGGGGATTTTTCCTCCTATGTTGTTATGGTAAAGTTCCCTGCAGTCCATGTAGAATTTCTACCTTATTACCAGAAGAAATACCGAAAGGTAAAACTTTGAATCTAAAACTAAGATAAGAAGAATACAGATACTGCAGCTGCTTGAGTTCACCAAGCTCTGAACCCAAACTTCCAGAAATGTTAGAATTGCCCAAATCCCTATATTCAAATTGAAATTAACAGTACTATTATTAAATAGTGAACAGGAAAAGGCAACATGATTTCATAGAAACAACATAGGATTAAAGATCTTACAAACGAACAACATGGTCGTTGGAATCACATGTTACATGGAACCAAGTACAAGGACTGACAAGAGTAGGATCCCAACTCTGAAGAACATTATTGGGATCAGAAAGTCTTGTTCTTAAACTATGCAAAGCATTTCCTGAGATTCAAATTCAAAAACAAGAAATCTGTCAGGTGGGCTCTTAGAAATTCACAAACCCTTTTAAAATATAAGAAAAAAATATAAATTACCTTCAATATTGGTGGATATTGAATAAGAAAAAGAGAGAAGGAGGACGGTGAAGAAGAGGAGAGAAGGAAAAGCCATTTTAGAGAGAGAAAGAGACTGATGGTATTGAAGTCTAAAAGGTGGAAATATAATACTAATAGTGAGAGACACTCACAGTCAAGTCAATATCGGTAAGCCAGTTACTGTTCCATGCTTTGATTGTGTACAAGATGTTTCGAGTGCATGACACCCTTGTACTTTCTGCTAAGATTATTGGTCTCAACTGTAGCAGAATAGGGGGACCATCCCACCCTTTCTTCTACGGTTCCATCCATATGCAATTGTGTTTAACTATGTTAATGGTTGTGAAAGTTTTTAGGAATTATATGTTGAAGGCAATTAAAGTTAATTTTTTATTGTAATAATTATTTGTTTCTCATGCTAATATTAATGGTTACTGTGTTAAAAACACTACGATAAATCCTATTTAGAGCCATTAACTGTCGACGTGTCATCGGATGATATTTTTCATTGGATTAAACTATATGTACTACACCATGTACTACATGGTTTACTACATTGCCAAGTGACGGCCATGTATTGGAGCATCGGTTGTAGCATCTTCCTTTTTCATTAGCTCCCATTTTTTAAAATCCATTTTCTACAACACAGTTAATGAAAATATGTGGTTAAAAAGTAATTAAATTTTTTTAATTTACGAGTAAATTTATTTTTAGTTTAATGGAGCTCAAACAAGGGCTAATCATTAACAAATTTACTAAAAGATTTATTGTGTTGGCATAATTAATTGTAGGGTTTTGATGTTTGTACAGTTGGGTTGAGGAGAGCCCACATTCAATAAAAAATTCATGGGCCCGCTATTGTAGCAAAACCCTTAATTGTACGCAATTTCTACAATCTGTATGGATTTGTACGTCGACGACCTTGACCGATCGTTGTGACCATTGACCCCCATTTATAAGAAAAGTAGACTCAATTATTCCAAGGAAAATGCCACATTAACAAAAGTATTGTGCCAAATTGTTTGACGAAGAGTGTATGGTATTTTGTGATTGGATGGAAACTGTGAGTGTATTTTGAACTGTCCATGATAGAATGCAGTCCAATTCGATTCGATTCGATTCGATTCTTTATGTTAAAAATTTTATAAAAGCAAAGTATTAAACTATTTGACAGATTAAAAGTAGATAAAATAGAGTTAAATTCACTTATTATTCTTGTGACCTAATAATAAGTAAATCAATTAAACGAGACAACAAACAAAAATAAAATCCAAAGGTTTAAGATCAATTAATAAGGACATAAAAAGGAAAAAATATTAAACACGATATAAACGGTAAAATCTGGATCAAAAATTAATTTTTAAAAAAATTCATACAACAATATATTAAAAAAAATGTATGGAGTTATTTATAATCAATTTATCGTCAATAATCTTCAAGGAGAAGATCTTAATTCTGATGACCGGCCTCTTTAAAAATAAAGAGAAATTTGAGTTATAACGAAATATTGAACTAAAAATACACTTTTTTCTATTGGGATTACATTGAATCTATAATTTTTTTGTAAAAGTGTTTATAAAATTATTTAAATTTACATGTTGATGTGCGAGATAATTTTAGGGTCCAATGTTCAAATATCTAGTGCATATTTGTACAATATATCAACAAAAAGAGAAATTATGGAAAACCAAATTCACCGTTAGTTCTTAAGATAGTACCAAGAATTGAACCGAACCAATCGATTCTAAATACATGGTCCCAAAATCGATTCATTTAATAAAGGAACAAAACCGAACCAAGGTAAGCTCGGTTCTAAATTTTTCATTGTTGTTATTATCTTTTGAATTCTGTTTTTAAATATGTTTTTAGGGTTGATTTTTAGTCCTTTACATGTTTGGAAAGTGCTTATAAATGATTTGAATTATAATTAGATAGAAATAAGTGATGGATAAGTAAGTACTATTATAGATTCGTTGAAATGTGTGGATAAAAGTGACTTGATTATTTACAACACTATAACGCATGAACCAAATGTAGGAATTATAGTTTATATTTTTAGGGTGCTTGTTTTTAATCTGTTCGTATTGCGTAGCATATCACTTTTTAATTTAGAATATTTTCATCTACAAAATAACATAATTCTATGTTGTTATGTGTGTGGTTAATGTTTTTCAGAGATCTTCGGTTAACTATAGTTTTATAATTCTATGTTGTTATGTGTGTGGTTAATGTTTTTCAGAGATCTTCGATTAACTATAGTTTTGTTGGTTTTCAGCCAAAATATGCATATAATTTGTTTTAACTCGAGTTATAGGTTACGATTGATTACCGACTTTTTAACTGTAAACCAGAATGAACACGTGACGTGTGACTTTCTAATTTAGAAGCTTTTAATTCGATCTTTATGTGTTTTTACTTATGAATTTTTTTTTTTGTAAAGATTGGGAGCCATTGATATCTTAGGATTATTTTTAGTTATTCCATTTCTTTTTTATAGTATTAGATGTGAATTAACGTTATTTATTAAAAAATGACATATTTTGCCACTTCTTAATTAAAAATATCACACGTTGTGATTTGACTTTTTTATCGGAACATCTTTATCCATAAAGAATGTTTGTTTAAGATTTTAATAAGAATTATTCTAATTGTACATCATGGGTGTAGACCCTTATGTATGGGGGTGATGTACTCCTAACAATGCTCTTTTAATAATTAGTTTTTTTTTTTTTTTACTTGCTATTTATTCTGTATTTAAAAGTCATATGATGTGTCACTTTTTAGTCAAATTAACACACACTATGTAATTTCACAGTTTTCACTGAAAAACTTTTGCTAAGTTTACAATGTGCTTTTAAGAACCACTTAAATTAATATTTAGAGCATGTTTGCCTAAATTTAAAATTCAATTAAAATTGAAAAAATAGTCGTTATTGGGTCTCACCTATCTAATAAAAGTCAATAATAACTGCTAATTTTTTAATTTTAATTCGATTTTAATATCTACCGAACACGTCCTTATTACTTTTTACTCTCTCTTTTTTCGACGTTGTTCATTGGAAGTGACATATTTTGTCATTTTTAATTAAATATTGTTGCATGATTTGACTTTTTAAAACCTAATATCTTTGACTTATTTTTGTAGAGCATATTTTGCTAAGAATCTGAGTTATTACAAATTTCTTTTTTGTTGTGTGTTGCTATTGGATCCGCGTTTGAAGGTCACATGATGTCTCCCTTTCAATTAAATTTATATTTAGTTCTTGAGCCATCATTTTTACAACGTGCTTATAGAATATTTATTTGTATACGTATATATATATTTTCGAAAATGTATTTTTTAAAATTAATTTTCAATAACACATTCTTCCATAAAATAATGTTAAGCATAAATTCAGAAATTTTTCTTTCTTCTTAATCGCGCATTTAAAAAAAAAAAAAAATCATTATTTCAAAACACATTTTCCTTCAAAACCTCATTTTAATCAGATCCAAACAGAGGCTAAATAATAAATTGAATCTGAAGCCCTCTTTGAGCCACATTAAAATTCACGTTCTCATTTTTCTACTCATTTTCAACCATACATTCTTCAATAAAATAATAATTTTTCCTTCTTTTTCAATCATATATTCCCCTTCAATTTACTATTTCAAAATACATTTTTCCAAAATAATGTGGCTCAAACACACTCTGATACATTCACCTCGATTCTAATAAAAGAAAAAGAAAAAAAAAACTTTAATTGAATCTTTATCTGGATCAAAAATTAATTTTTAAGAAAATTCATACAACAATATATTAAAAAAATGTATGGAGTTATTTATAATCAATTTATCGTCAATAATCTTCAAGGAGAAGATCTTAATTCTGATGACCGACCTCTTTAAAAATAAAGAGAAATTTGAGTTATAACGAAATATTGAACTAAAAATACACATTTTTCTATTGGGATTACATTGAATCTATAATTTTTTTGTAAAAGTGTTTATAAAATTATTTAAATTTAAATGTTGATGTGTGAGATAATTTTAGGGTCCAATGTTCAAATATCCAGTACATATTTGTACAATATATCAACAAAAAGAGAAATTATGGAAAACCAAATTCACCGTTAGTTCTTAAGATAGTACCAAGAATCGAACCGAACCGATCGATTCTAAATACATGGTCCCAAAATCGATTCATTTAATAAAGAAACTAGAACCGAACCAAGGTAAGCTCGGTTCTAAATTTTTCACTGTTGTTATTATCTTTTGAATTCTTTGTTTAAAATATTTTTTTAGGGTTGATTTTTAGTCCTTTACATGTTTGGGAAGTACTTATAAATGATTTGAATTATAATTAGATAGAAATAAGTGATGGATAAGTAAATAATATTATAGATTCGTTGAAATGTATGGATAAAAGTGACTTGATTATTTACTACACTTTATAACGCATGAACCAAATGTAGGAATTATAGTTTATATTTTTAGGGTGCTTGTTTTTAATCTGTTCGTATTGCATAGTATATCACATTTTAATTTAGAATATTTTCATCTACAAAATAACATAATTCTATGTCGTTATGTGTGTGGTTAATGTTTTTCAGAGATCTTCGGTTAACGCGTGATACTTTTTGAAACGGGTCCCACCTCATGTGAGTATTATGTCAACCCTTATGTTACCCTCTATGTACCCCAAGCAAAACTCTTAAAAGTATCACGCGTTTTGATTTGACTTTTTTATCGGAACATCTTTATCCATAAAGAACGTTCGTTTAAAATTTTAATAATTAGTTTTTTTTTAATTTTACTTGCTATTTGTTCTGTATTTAAAAGTCATATGATGTGTCACTTTTTAATCAAAATAACACACACTATGTAATTTCACATTTTTCACTGAAAAACTTTTGCTAAGTTTACAATGTGCTTTTAAGAACCACTAAAATTAATATTTAGAGCATGTTTGGCTAAATTTAAAATCCGATTAAAATTGAAAAAATAATCTTTATTGGATCTTACCCGTCTAATAAAAGTCAACAATAACTGCTAATTTTTCAATTTTAATCTCTACCGAACGCGCCCTTAGTACTTTTTACTCTCTTTTTTTTCGACGTTGTTCATTGGAAGTGACAATTTTGTCATTTTTAATTAAAATGTTGTTGCATAATTTGACTTTTTTTTTTACCTAATATCTTTGACTTATTTTTGTAGAGCACGTTTTGCTAAGAATCTGAGTTATTACTAATTTCTTTTTTGTTGTGTGTTGCTATTGGATCCGCATTTGAAGGTCACATGATGTCTCACTTTCAATTAAATTGATATTTAGTTCTTGAGCCATCATTTTTTTCAACGCGCTTATAGAATATTTATTTGTATACGTACATATATTTTTCAAAAATGTATTTTTTAAAATTAATTTTCAATAACTCGTTCTTCCATAAAATAATATTACGTATAAATTCAGAAATTTTCCTTTCTTCTTAATCACACATTAAAAAAAAAAAAAAAATCATTATTTCAAAACACATTTTCCTTCAAAACATCATTTTAATCAGGTCCAAATAGAGGCTAAATAATAAATTGAATCTGAAGCCCTGTTTGAGCCACATTAAAATTCTCGTTCTCATTCTTATATTCATTTTCAACCACACATTTTTTAATAAAATAATATTTTTTATCACATTAATAATTTTTCCTTCTTTTTCAACCATATATTATCCATCAATTTATTATTTCAAAATACATTCTTCCAAAATAATGTGACTCAAACGCACTCTGAGACATTCGCCTCGATTCTGATAAAAGAAAAGGAAAAAAAAAAAAACTTTAATTGAATCTTGTACCATTCCGCACGCCGTATGGGTGTCAATAAAGGCAATTGTAAAGTTGAGGCTCGTTATGTACAATTATGTACGAATTTTTATGGGTTTGCCGTGCATGCAATTTCTTCGGGAATAATGCTAGAGGTACACTTTTAAGTGTACATCTTCTGTGAGAATAATCTTTGTTTGTTTTGGATTAAAATCAAATTTTAATATAAATCAAAGTCATAATCAATATTAACCACATCTTTCATGAGTTTCACAGCTTTTTAATTACACATTTCAAAAACTTCTATCATAATCTAACAAAAATTTAATTTTAATCCTCACCAAACACCCACCAAATCTATGCATTTACCTTTAATTAGTCCCTGTTTGTCTTCTTGTAAAATAAAATTCTTTTAACTCTTATATTCATTCTCAACCAAACATTCACGTAATAAAATATTTTACACGTAAACTCAAATTTTTTTCTACCTCTTAACCGCACATTCTCCAAAAATCACAGTTCAAAACATCATTTTTATTTTCAAAATAATGGCCATGGGCTTAATATGTTTAGTGGGATTAGAATCCATTCGTTTTGGACGTACAACTTTATATTTACAGAAAATAAACGAGAAAAATATGATTTTTCAAATTATTTCTCACTTCTTTAATTTGCACGCGTTGAGAACGTTGAGGTTTTTTGAGGGAATCCTCGAAAACAATAGTTGACAGACAACCGTAGAGATTGCTAGCACAAGATTACTGAAAGTAATGAGGAAAGAATTCATTGAATTTCACTTTTGGCAGAATTTATTCTTCATTAATCAAATTTGAATCTATTCTATAATGTCAGCATGTACGTGTATATATATAAAGGTCTACTCTAATTTACTTTCATTGAATTTGTAGAGCCATGGCCAGAACTGGGATAAAAAACGTAAAGCCATTGTTGCTTATCAGGCCATTCGCCATGTATGCATGCTTCTGAATTCTCTTTATATTTATGTCTTCTTTTTGTTTCGAACTATAATTTTTTCATCAATTTGTGACAGGCTGCAGAGGCAAGAAGTTGTACGTTGCATTAGCACGTCGAATCACCGAGAAAACAGAAGAGAAGTGATTTCCAAGAAACGCGAGGAAGACGAGGAATGCTGGATGCCTGATCCACGCACGGGAATATATTACCCGAAAGGCCATGAAGGGGTGATGGATGATATTCCAAGCAATGCAGCAACCTTTGAAAAGGTTTTCTGGTTTAGGAACCAGGATGGAGTTGACAAACCAGATCCTATAGATAATTAATTCATTGTAACCCTCATTTGGAAAGGTATCTTAAACTGAAAATGACTTGTAATAAGTTTTATCCGTTTGTACTCTCAATAACATGACATCATTGCTTGATGCTTTATTTTTCTTAGAATTATGCTAGATGTACACCCGGTGATTTACATAATGGATTACACCCTTCACATGGAGGAGGGTCCACGAATATTTTATTGTGTATGGGCCCCCCTCCATGTGAGGAGGGTGTAGTTCATTGTGTACATCTAGAATAACTCTTTTTCTTAATAGTTATATACTGTGCATCATATTGTGTGTGTTGATGGGGATCTTGGAGCACGGGAGAGAAATGAAGGGAGGGGAATTTGCACAACTTTTACTATCGCTGAACCTGAAGAATCTGAATTATCGTTTTCACGTGTATTATCTATTTAACTGTTGATTTAATTATTCTCACAATACTTTCGCAAGATTCTTTAGGTCCACGATTAACATCCATAAGTGTAATATTATTTTGAACGTTTTCCTTGAATGATCGTTACTTAAAAGAATATATACCTCATTAATATCTTTCTGAAAAAATATCATGTGTAAAAATACTCCAATTAAGGAAAGAAAGTATATTATTATTTTCAATGAGTTATAAACGTTGTCTCATAACGAGTTGTCTCATAACGAACCTTGCCAGAAAAATTCAACGAGACAAAATTTCAGTAAAAAAAGAAGTACAACAAGAGGTCTATGTCACTCATGATAATGTCACTTGTGTTGCAGTAAATAATACAATTTTGAACATGTTTCCCACATAAATTAACATGCTAGCCACACATTAATAGATAAAATAGTTGAGTATTATGTGGATCGAATAATACTTTTAACGGTTGAGATGGACTATCAAAAATCAATCGCCAAACCTAATCCAATATTGCATCATTGTTCCCTATAAGTCTTATAGGAAATAAAACAAACCCTAATTAAATAAAATATTGTATCGACACCTATATGTTTGACCACATTATTCTCTTCGGGTTGGAGAAGATTCGCCCTCGAATCTTGCATCTTCATTCGGTATCACATAATGGCACAATTGTGCACCAATTGTAGCATAAATGTTATCCTTGGTATCTTGATTTGGAAAATCTCAAGCTTCCAATAAAATAATCTTCAAAATGATAGATTAATTTCGATTTTGTTGCTCAATAATGCCACCACAAGAGGACGTGAAAGATAAATAAAGGTACATTAATTCTCGATTTTAGGAATCAAATACTCGATTTTGTTGGACTCTGATAACATATTGATGCAATGAAATATGCGTGGATGAAGAACACCGAATTTAGGAATCAACAACTCGATTTTTCACAAAGAATACCAAATATTTGATCTTAATCGCAAAATCATTAATTCTCCAATTCGGATCATGAAGAAAGATCTCACAACTTGTATTATTTTAAATCAAAACATTTCATTCACTTCATTGTTGCGGATTATAAAAAAAAATAATCCCCCAAACCTAATCAAATATTGCATCATTGGTCCCTAAACTCTTCAAAATATAAAATAAATCCTAATTATATAAAATAACAAAATAAATACCTATATGTTGGAATTAAAATAATTGTATATTTACACGACAACATATTCTTTTAAAATATTAGAATATTGATATTTATGAAGATATATATACTTTTTCATTAGCATTAACCTAGTACTTTTTAGAAGTATGAATATTTTGCACGTGAGTTAATAATTTTTTTCCTTTTTTTTTTTTAAATTATACACATTCATCGAAAAATTCATTTTTCACGAAAGTGTATTCTGAAAAAGAGTTATGCTGCACGTACATGACCATCATTTTTGTCTGAAAAATCCCTATCGCACAGGGGTTAAGAAATTAAACGTGAGACATTCACCTTCAATTGAATCTTGTATCATTTCGGACGAGACATGTATGGGTATCAACAAAGTTAACTCTAAAGTTGATGCATGTATGTATAATTATTCATGACTTTGGTGGGATTCTTGTGCTACGTGAGAACCATCAAATCTATGCACTTTGCTTTAAATTGATATGTTTAGTGGAATTGGAATGATATCTGGAATCCCCTCCTTCCGGAAGACATAGAAGACCGCCAATTTTTTTATTTACAAAGAATAAACGTCAAAATTATGACTTATTTTAATTATCATCACTTATTTAATCTGTACAATATATAGAGAATCTTGTTATAAAAATAATAGAACAAAAGAGAAATCGAAGCAGTTGGATATTACATATCATTAAATGATGGATTCATTTAAATGTAAAGTCACGTGACTTATTTAATTGAATACATATAATGTTGTCTTGTTCTTGTTCTTGTTTCAAACTAAAACTTTTTCATCAATTTGTGACGGCGTTGCAGAGGCAAGAAGTTGTACGTTTCACGTGCACGTCGGTGATGGATGACATTCCAAGCAATGGAGCCACCTTTGAAAAGGTTTTCTGGTTCAGGAACAAGTATGGACTTGATAAACCAGCTCCTATAGTTTAATTCATCTTAACCATAATTAAAAATCCCTCGGTTGAGCCACTATCTTAAACTAGACAGGGGTGCGTACATTATGGGTTCTTGGAAGGAACCCTGCTATATGTACAGAAAATCTATACAAATTTGTTGACATAAATAAGGTAGTTTTTTTTTTTTTCGCCTTTCAAATCAAGGGCCAAATAACTGTCATCTCATATTATGTCAATAGATCTGTATCCCAGTTCCTAAACAAGTAGCTTAATTCTCTTGGAAGCTTGGAAGAAAGGAAAGATTTTGCACAATTTTTACTATAGTTGTGCATTGTGGTGCAATCGAGTTATGTCACTAAAATAGTAAAATTGACTTGAAAAGTTTGAATTGTCATTTTTAAGGGATGGCAAAAAAACTCGACAAACCCGATACCCGCGGGGTTCGGGGCGGGAAAAACCCTCTTAAACGGGTAACGAGGCGGAGAATTTTGCCCCGGGGCGGGTTCAATGCGGGGACGGGTAACGGGGTCCCCGCCCCGTTTTAGAAAAAAAAAATTTTTTTTTTTTTTTAGAATTCAATATTTTAAATGAAATTTTTTATTAGTTCTAATAGAAAATAGCAACTAAAATTATTTGTCAAAATCTAATGAATATTTTTTGTTTTTAGAATTCAATACTTTAAATGAAATTGTTTATTAGTTCTAATAGAAAATAGCAACTAAAATTATTTGTCAAAATCTAATGAATATGGACAATAAAAATAAATTATCAAAAACTTTAAAAAAAAAAAAATTAAACGGGCGAATAAACGGGGAATGGACATACCCCCGCCCCGTCCTGTTGCCATCCCTAGTTTTTAAGAGTTCTATCCATCTAATGATTGTTTTAACTATGTTTAACTTTTATTCGCATCCAAAAACTCAAAAGTGATTTTACTTATAATCATAAATATGCTAACTCGTGTAAATAACTACTTAAATTTATTGCAATAACTCGTGTAAATAACTCGAGTTGACTAAGCTTTAAACTAATTAAATTTAATTGTAACTAATTGCACGCGATCCTTCATCTTTCAAGGTTTATTGCAATTTACTTAAAAATTTAACTTTTTTTGTTTTAAGTAAGCGTTTAATTAGATCAAAAAACAATTACTATTTTTTTTTTAAATAACACAACAATAAATATACATTTCTTATTTTATTTAACTTTCAAATATGCTCAACTTACATTTCGCAGGACGTACAGGTTGATTCATTTCTTATAGGAATAACAATTAGAACTGTTAAAACCGAAAACTGCGATTAATTGAACCGAATGGGGCGAAAAAAATCGAACCGGGTGCAATGAGGTGGTTATGGTTTTGATTTTAATGACCCGTGCCTTGCCCCGAACCGATTACCCGTTAAAAAAAAATTTAATTGGACAATTGGGCTTTCCATTATTCTTTCCCAAAAGTAACTGGACAATTTTGACAAGGACTTCTCCAAAATTCTGGCCCAATTAACATTACTAGTAAACCTTTCACTCAAGAACCTAACTCTAACCCTATTTGTTAAGATTGAAAATTGGAAACCAAACTTACAAAATACTCGTCCACTCAACTAATGAACCATATCAGATCCGCCGACGCTCTGCTGCCTATACCTTAACTTCAAATTGTAGTAATCAGCAACGAAATCTACCATTTTGTGAGCACGCTCCCTAAGTTGTTATGCGTCCATTGGTTTCAAACCATCTTCCCTATATAGTTCAACAAAACTCAAATACATTTTATTTGATTGCATTTTCTTTATAATACAGTATAATTGTATTATTACTCTAATTACATTTCTTACTTACTATATAGGAATCAACTTTGAGTCTTGACCTATGCTAATAAGAGTCTTGACCTATGTTGATAAATATTGTTTGTTAAATTCGAATTTCGCATTTGGAAGTTGTGATATTGTTTGCATTTGGAATATTGTTTGCTAGATTGACTTAGTATTGTGTTTTTGTTTTATTGATTTTTCTTCGTAATTTTTTTTTTCAATTTGATGGTTGGAATTTGGATTTATAAAAATTAATTTATTTTCTTGGTTATTAATCGAAGCGAACTGAACTGATATACGAACCGAATCGAACTGACTTACGTGGTTATGGTATGACCAAAAATTTAGTGGTGCGGTTATGATTTTGACTGAACCGATCCCGAACTAAACCGTTGCCATCCCTAATTTCTTAGGGTGTATTTGAGCCACATTATTTTGAAATGATATATTTTGAAATAGTGATTAATGCAAAATGCGTGGCTGAAAAGAAAAGAAATGTTATTAATGTGATGAAGAATAATATTTTATTAAAGAACAGGCGGTTAAAAATAAGTAAAAAAATGAAAGTTTAACGTGACTCAAACAATGGCTTAAGAAATTAAATTTAAACCAGCATTAATATCCTTTTAGTACACAAAAACCGTCAAAACGTTCTTAAATTTAAGAAATTAAATTTAAACCAGCATTAATATCCTTTTAGGACACAAAAACCGTCAAAACGTTCTTAATATATCCATCACTTTCCCTTCTCTTCCCGAAATCTACATTACTCTCTCAAATGCAATGTCTCGGAAATCAGTCTCCACTGTACTTTCCTGAAATTGACAAACATTAATCTTCGTATTAAATAAATTCAAAACTGTCGGAGTGTCTGTTTTTTTCAGTTATTGTAAATTTTTCATTTTGTGTATGACGAGCGCTTCTGAGCTATTTCACAGCCGGCGGTCACGTTTCGGCAGGAATTCGATTCCAGTGGACATTGGGCCGGGATATGAGTCTTATTCCCATCTTGATCGGAGCAATCGCCAGCATCGGCATTCAGACCACCACCACCACCATAATAATAATAATAATTCTGGTACTAGAAATAGTATTCGCCGTGACAGGCTCGAGCTAGAGGGGTGCAATCCGCTGCGCCGCCATCTGCATCAGTCTAGGCACCATCCACTTCGTCGCTCCTCCTATCCACCTCAAGTAAGACTGTTCTGATTCTAGGTATAGATGATTGAATGACTTGTGGCTGTTATGTGTTTGCGGTAAGCCCTTTTTGGAACAGAACCAGTTACTAAATTATTGAGTTTTAAGGAGTTAGCAAATTTATAAATGGCAAATCAATAATTCACTACTCCTGCTAGACTTTAGGGTTTCATATTTACAAATGACAGTTCCATAAAGATTGGCCTTTGCATTAGAATATGAAGATACGATTTTTGACTTCTTCAAATTGGTACGAGTCTGATATTAATCTGGCTTGGAGTTAATCTTGCCGTTGTGTTTATGGAAATCGGTCTTGTGCTGCTGGTTCGTCTCATCCGTAGCCTTCTTTGCCTAGGTCGCTACCTTCAGGTCATCGGCACCTTTATCTCAATGCATTCTTAAATGCAAGCACCTCCTTAAAGTGGGACCTTCGTCTTTGTAGACTTGTAGTCTTGATGGATGCTGAAAGAGGCGATTTCGTTTGTTGTGATTTTGCTTTAAGCAACCTTTGGCTTGGCAGTAGGAGATAATTTATTAGCTGGTGCAAGAAATCTAGATTCCACCTCATTTACTTTCCATATTCCAACTTTTGATAAGGACACGAACCTAAGTTACATTTCTACTATCCAAACTCGAGTTAGTAACTAAGTTACCACCTTGAGATTGTTGGGAACGGTAGATTTAACATATAGTAGTCCATTCACTTTTCCTATCCAATACATCTAGCTGCATTTGTTGAATGTGCACAAACCATTTCAATTAGTTCTCAGGTAGTGTATCTTTAATTGGTCTTTTTCATTTAACTGATTCGCATTCTTAAGACCATTTTTTTCCCATATAATGACCTCTCTCCTTGTGTGCCTCATATGCCATGTTAGGCAACCTTTTAATCTATGCTTCTTTTGACTTGGCTGGGAATATTGAATACGATCTTTTTTCTATAAGCAAATTTTCTTCTTTTTCTAAAAAATATTGTTTCCAGTGATGTTATTTCCTTGTCTAATCTCTTAAATTGTGCTTTCCATTGCCTTTATGCTCAACTGTTCAATTTCTATTGATCACTCGTTTTTCGAGTTATATTGAATTGAAAAATCAATATTGTCTTTATCTCACTGTTTTCTGGTCCGTCCGATTATACTCGCTTTGAGTAAACAAGAGTGTTCTATCTTCTTTTGCCAAAGAAAATTTGACCCCAAGTTTTTGTAGTTTTATGTTGCTAATAAGATTGAAAGACTCCATATTGCCAAACTCTATAGGGATATATCCATGCATTTTATAGCCTATTTTATCTTTTGCTATCATAATTTGCAGTTGAGTGTATTCTTTTCTTAGGGGTAATTAAATTTCTGATCCCAGAAAGAATGAAAATAAAAGCCTCCGGTGACCCAAACACTTCTATGCTTGCTCCTCAAATTGTTTTTACTTATTTACTCTTTTTTTTTTTTTTTGGGCTGACATGCTCAGGAACTTGATTCTAGCCAGTTTGATCAAGGTAGCCACCAATTTGCTCCGGGAAATGTCAATATATCAGGAAATGGGAGCACCATACAAGATAGGCTGACGTTCAGTGGAAATGGCAGGCTACCCGGAGCTGTCTTACTTGCAAGAGAAAGGCTTCTACAAAGATTGAGAGGGGTCACTTTGTCTGGAAACAGGTTGGTTTTTGTTCGGATCAATCCATCACCCAACTGAAAGGATAATTTTCGTGTTTTTGATGATAATCCTTATGAACTCTTTCTATTATAGGAGCAACAGGAGTTCACCTGATGTCCCTATTGGTGATGACTTTAGGCTTGTTGATGCTGGAGATTGGGAAACAGAAATTTCCATAGACTGGCTTGCTTCAATTTCCCCTGTAACCGATTCCACAAGGCAACAAGCATGCCAGAGGCCTCCCGGGCTCACTGAAGAAGCACTGGACTGTTTGTGTGTGGAGATATTCAGTGTCCCAGACGAAGGTGATGAGCCGGTAATGTCAAGGTCATCAATGGAGTGTAGCATATGCCTTGAAAGCTTCTGTGAGGGAGACGAGCTTATATGTCTACCCTGTGGGCATAGGTTTCATCTTTGCTGTTTGGATCCATGGGTTCGCACTTGTGGAGACTGTCCCTATTGCCGTAGAGGTATAGTTGTAACTACAGACGGAGTTAAAGAAAGACTATAACTTCAAGAAATCTATATATATTGTGGTACTTTCCAAAGCATTTATTCAATTTTGGTTTGAACCATCTCCGCCCGGTGCCTTCTTGATTGTTTGGTCTGATCTAAAAGCCATCAGTAGTAAAAGAACATCTTGAATTTGAACTATTTATGTGGCGATTTGATAATGATGTTCATCATAAGTGAATCGGGACTCAGTGTCATCTAAACTGTTAACGAACACGGTCGTTTGGTTAGATAGAGTCAAAATTTTCTTTGAAATTAAGGAGGGGTGAAATTAATGAAGTTAGAATTGTCATGTTATAGTGTTCCCTAATTGTACCACGACCATATTAAACGCCCTTCTCAAGATAAAAGGGTTTTAACCCACAGTACCGAAGCATTACTAATTGTCTCAATTGGGTCCCCATTCTTTTTTCTTTTCTTCTTTTTCTTCTTTTTTTGTCACATTTTTTTTGGTGCACATAAAACAAATAAATAGAAATAATTCAACTTTCCATCATATAATCACTTGAAAAGCAAATGGCCCGTTCTTTCAGTTCACGGATATTTCTGTTTATACATATCATAAGCTTCCATTCTTTCAAGTGATTATTTCATGAAAAGAGAAACAATTTCCATCTATATGTCCTTGAAAGCATCAAGAAAATCCTTTCATCTATGTCATTTGTATTGTCAAATTCCTATTTAAAGATTGAATTTTGCAACTTCACAAAGAATTATAATCGCCGTAAAAAATATTACTTCTAATATATCTGATTATTGTTTGAATATTGTTTTGCACTTTTTCACCACGTGGGAAAAGAATATTTTGTTGTTCTTTTTATACGAGACAATTATTATGAAGTCATGTATTCTACGCTTCGTTAACTTCCGTCAAATTTTCTTCAAGCAAAATTGGTTCTATAGGCCATTTGCGTCGACGCGATGATGAGGCTTGCTTTATTTCTTCTAGCCAACGACCCCCTCAGAAAGCCTTTCCTTTGATAGGCACGTTGGTTACTGTCATTGCTTTAATACGGCGACTTTAGGAATGTGAAGGTTCATTGGACATTTAGGGCAATGGATAATGATGTGGGCGTTCGTGGCATGTGACTTTTGAATTTGACATGACTTGCTTGTAGCATCCATCGATCTACATGAGGCAAGGTTGTGACTACTGGTTAATACCAACTTGGTTAGCAATCGCATTTATGTCGTACCAGGGGCGGACACAGACTTCTTAAACAAGGGGACAATCAAACTTTCAAAAAATGACGAAAAAATTAAAGTAAAAGATATTTTATTACAACTGTTTTCTACGTGTTCACATATAATGATAACGTTTCATAATTACATCATTTTTCAATCTTGTCAAATATATCTTTCTCAATATATGCAATCAAACTATCATTCAACCATTGATCTCCGATTCGATTGTGCAGACGATTTTTGACACAAGTCATCGCAGAAAATGATCTCTCGACTGTAGCTGTAGCCACGGGAAGAACTAATGCTAATGTCACAAGCTTGTAGACTAATTGATACACTTCATGTTTATTCTTTGCAACCAACTTCTGTGCAAGATCACTAATACCCTGTAATCCTTCAAAATCTTCAGATGTGCGCATGTCAAGAATGTATGTATCTAACTGATCATCAAGTTCTGAGATATCTGTTGCGTCAAAATCAAACGGATAATACTGACATAGTCGAATCACTTTGTTTTTGTCAAAAGCATCGAATGAGTTATTTGGNTGTGCAAGATCACTAATACCCTGTAATCCTTCAAAATTTTCGAATGTGCGCATGTCAAGAATATATGTATCTAATTGATCATCAAGTTCTGAGATATCTGTTGCATCAAAATCAGACGGATAATACTGACATAGTCAAATCACTTTGTTCTTGTCAAAAGCATCGAATGAGTTATTTGGAGACAAACATACAACACAAAGTAGCAAGTCACTATTTATCTCAGAAAAAACTATCATTCAGCTCCCGAAGTTACATATCAATGATAGCATAAAATATTTCAATACGATAATGATGCAAATTTGTCACTGTCTCACGCCGTGAATGACCTAGAGTTATGAACATATCATCCATATTGAGAACATTGATCTCGTGAGCTTTACAAAACGAACAAACAACCCCAAAGAAAGAATCTCATCCATCATCCCTTATCATTTGGAGCCGTGTTTTACATAATTGCACCAATCTCATGGCATTGACAATATCTTGATCTTTTCGTTGTAATGCTTTCGACAATTCATTTAAAATCCTCAAAATATTTTTCATGAGATGTAGATTAAATACAAATTCAAATTTTAACATCTACTCAAATGAAATACAATCATCACTTCTTGTTCTGGTACTTGTAGTGTCAGTAGCAATCATCTCAACAACGTCGACTATGGTTGAAAACATGACAGTCAAATTTATTAAACAACTGTAATGAGATCCCCAACATGTATCACAAGGACGCTGAAGGGTAGTTTCTTGATTGAGACCTCGTCCACTTGATAATTCACCGACTCTGAGTAATTCAAGAACTTTCAACCTTTGGTTCTTTTGAATAAGATCACTCCGTTTCGCCGATCCACCAGCAACATTCACCAATCTGTGTACTGTAGTGAAGAAAGTTTCAATCTTTGGATGCTTCTGTGCCACAGCTACAAGAGCTAACTGAAATTGATGAGCAAAACAATGAATATAATATGCACTTAGATTTTCCTTCAAAATAAGTGCTTAGAGGCTATTATACTCACCGGCATGTTACTAGCTCCATTATATCATTGTCCTCTCAAATTAGATATACTTAAGCTTTGTTCAGAGAATAATTGATCAATTACAGTCTTAAGTGAGATAGATGTGGTACTCGAAACATGACGAACGACAACAAAATATTCCAATACATGCCCATTATTCACATAACGAATACCAATCGACATTTGCTCCTTAATTGAAATGTCTCGAG